TGACCAGGTAGGAGAAAAGAGAGGGAGCAGGCGACTGAAACGGACCAGGTGTGTTATAGAGGGTTAGAGGTCAGAGAGTCAGACGTTCAAACTACCACTGTAATTATATTCTGTGCATTCTGGAAGCTCAGAAGAGATAAAACATGTTAAGTAAAGCCGTAGTAGACACAAAAAGATTCCAGCTGAATTTTGATAGTTAAATACAAGTTCTAAGATGTAAAAAGATTTTGTGAAAGGGGAAGAGATTGTTCAAAAGGACAAAGAAACTAGGATGGGTGAAAGGGAAAAAGGACAGAGGGAATAGGGGAAAGTGTGAAGCATTGTACTGTTCATGTCTCTTAGTTCATTAAAAAGGAAGGTTTGTGCTTAAAAAATTGATGAACTCTGAGATGAAAAGTCCTCCCTGGAATTAATATCAGAAGAAAAGATTGGTGAGCTTGAGACACAGCAATAGAAAATCTCTGAAATGAAATTCACACCAAAAAAAATCCCAATGTAAAGTAACAGTGGAACAAATTCAATCAGCCAAATACGTACATGAATCCCCAAAATAATCCAAATTAAAATCCAGAGGAATGATAGACTCGCATTTTCTGTTTGATGAAAACTAGGAACTCACACATCCCAGGTGCAAGAAAATAAATCCAGGCACATCAAAATGAGATGGCTTAAAACGGTGACCAAAAAGTGGCTGGCGAGTACTTCAGTGGTAGAATGTTTGCCTTGCATATGGGAGGCCCTGGGTTTGATGCCCAACACTACAAACAAAGAAACCTGTGACAAATAGAAAACCCAGAAACAACCAAAGGAAAAAGAATGAAGAAATGAGTGGCAGCCTCCACCAGGCCCACTTGACCTGGGAAAAAATTGTTGCAAAATATACATTGGAGAGTGCGCATCTAAAATACAAAAAGTACAAGGAAACAAATAATTCAGTGTTTTAAATAAGCAAAATATTTTAACACGCACATCTTAAGTAAAAATATAAGAGTGGCAGATAATCACATGAAAGGATGCCCAGCATGGGTGGTCATCAGGGAGGTCCAAACTAAAGCAGTAAATTATCACTACTCATCTACTGGGCTAGCTAAAAACAAGGCCAGCTTCCCAAGAGCTGCCTTTGGAAAACAGTCTGGCACGGACTTTAAAAGTGAGAGGTATATCCGTCTACCATAGAATCAAACAATCCCACACCTGTGTGTCTACCAAAGGAAGAGGGAAGCAAATGTTCATAATAAGACTTGGGCACACACATTGCTCACAGGATTTTGCTTATAAAAACTAAAACCTGACAAAAACTCACTGTCCACCACCAGATGGATGAGCAAATGCTGCTTATTCAGTAGTAGAATTCTACTCAACCACTAAAAAGGAATGGACTACCTGCACCAAACTCGGAGTCTCCGAATGACTATGCTGAGGGACAGAAGCCAGGGAAGAGGCACAGGCTGTCGCATCCTGCTGGTGCCACACTCTACGATGTTTGAATATAGTGGATATTTCACTACTGTGATGGTATCATGGATGTGTGGGTCTGTGTGTGTATGTATGTGTCTGTCTGTCCTTCTGACTTGTCTCTAAAATTCTGTGAATTTACATGTGTTGTAAATATGCACAAATACATTCTACTTGAATTTGTGTCTTGGTTACTTTTCTCCTATCTGAGACATAATACCCGACACCCACAAGTTAAAGGTGGTGGGCTTGGTGGGGGTGCTCAGGGTCTGTAGAGGTTTCAGTCACTGGCTGTTTCAAGGCAGGGAGGCGTGGCAGAGAGGACACGGTCCACGGCAGGGCGGCGGGCAGTGATGCTGAAGCAGCAGCCTTCCTCCCCTTTATCCCACCCAGGCTACAAGCCTATCGGCAGGTGCCACGTGCACGCAGGGTGGGCTTCCCGTCATTCACACCAGAGCTGTGCGAGGCCAATCAGTGGACACCTCCAGGACCGTACACTTTGAGACCCAGTATCACACCCCTAATCCATGTTCACATGCCCTCTGAAAAGCCCCATGTGCGACTGCAGGACATTTGGGGGGGACATCTAGACCCAAGTCATAACAGGTGATCTTGTGAAATAGAAAGCACTACCCGCTGGACATGAATGGGCCTGAATTGCTGATAAAATGTTGTGTTTGATTTTATGTAGCAAGGTTATTAAATAGAATTTCTGGGGAGGAAAACATCTAATTGTATACTGTAGATATGTGCATTCCTGGATGTCAGTTTTATCTCAATAGAGCTGACAGGCGGAAGAAGAAGAGAAGAAGGAGAAGAAGGAGGAGGGGAAAGGAAAAGAGGAGGACGAGCAGGAAGGGAGGAGAAGCTCATTTTTTCTGCTCCTGGGTCTCAACCAGGACAGGTGTCCTGCGGAGAGGTGTCAAGGACACGAACTTCCTAGAAATGCAGCCCAAGAGCCCCACCACCACCCCAGCTCAGACCTCTCAGCTTCTAACCTGTGAACTTCCCTCATCATTGTCCAAACAAACCCCTCAAGGCCATCGGAGAACCACCTCCATGGCTTCCCTCCACAGGGTGCCCTGTCCTGACTCAGCGGGGAGCCCGTGCAGGAGGCTGGAGGAGGAGGGATGTAACCAAGGGCCATCTGGATCCATCTTCCCGGCACCACAAGGACTCACGGGTCCAGGAAGTGGGGTCTGTGGCTCTTGGGCACAGTTACACAGCCCAAGTTGGCACCCAATCCTGCTTTTGTTCAGAGACTTTCCAAAGCCTCCTCCTGTACCCAGCTCAGCCTGCTTCCCGCTTGGGGAGCCACACCGCTGGCTTCCTGGTCCTACAATGAGCTCATTCTGGAGAGGAGGCTGTGGCCACTGGAACAGGACCACCGGGCGAGCGAGTGGGCCGCAGCTCATCAGCGAAAGCATGAATGGACCGCGGCCTCAATGCTAAAATAGTCTCCTGGCCTCGTCTTAATAGACCCCTGTCCCTGGACAGCTTTCACAGACAACCCCACAATTAGGGGTGTGCGCTGATCGGCAAAGCCACTTACCTGAAACACACAGTGGCCAGTGTTTGCTGAAGTTTATTTATGAGAAAGCAAGAAAGAAAGACCTAGCCTAAGCATAAAAATAGAGCGGCAGCACTCAAGTAAATTTGCGACTCTTCTCCCCAGAATCCTCAGGTATCACTATTTTGAGACGAGTTCAGTCTGAGGTAATACAGAAACTTAGCTTAGCAAGGAGCTTATTACTATGCAAAAACAGAACTAGCCCCTCAGCCCCGCAGTGCTGCTGTGGTTCTGAGTGTTTGAGACAGGGTCTTGTTAGGTAGTCCAGGGTGTCTTTGAACCCACTGTAAAATCCAAGCTGACCACCAACTCTCAGCTGTCCTCCTGCCTCAGCCTCCTGAGTGCTGGGACTATAGGTGTGGACTGAAAGTTTAACTCAGATCCTGTCCTCCCTGCTTGAGACTTTTCAGTGAGCTTCTGTGGCACTTGGGAGGGGCTCAAACTACCCCCAGAGGCCTGGCAGGCCATGGGGGGGCCTGATCTGGGCCCTCCTGACCCTGCCTCTGAGTTGGGGTCACCTGCTCACTCCCAAGATCCTTCCCACAGGATAGCCCTTCACCACGCCTCCTTCCTGACCCCGAAACTGGCTCCTCTCAGGGGCCAGGTATTGGCTGGGGTGTTTCATTTCTGCCCCTGCACAACATCTGTCAGACTCTTTGACTATTGACTGTTGAATGAATAATGAACCACTGTCGATTTGTTTGTAGCTTGCTTAACCCTCCCTCAAACTCCCAAGCCTAATTCAAGCATTCCTCCCCCTGCATCCCGTTCCCTGCCCACCATGGAGTCTTCCTGGGCTTCACACTCTTCAGGGTTAGAGACAGAGCAGGGCCACAGACACCGCTGGGCCCCAGCAGGCACTCTGCCCATGCAGTCCTCACGAGGGGCACCATCAGTGCTCTTTCCACCGCTCCGTCGTGACCCCCAGAGGTCAGTTCCTCTCTTATCAAGCTCGTGAGGTCTCCCACATTCCCAGTACCACCTGAACTAACATAAAAGGGTACAAGGCTAAGATTTTAGTGACAACCATCTTGTTCTCCCTGATAGACTGGAACGTTCTTCCATCCACCATTATTTAAAGCAAAAACTATGTCCTTGGAAAGCACCGCTCCAGATGCCACTGGGCTGCATCACACATTCTCCAACTCTTTCACTTATCGGCATCACTCTCTGCCTGGACTTACTCACCAGGGGTCCAGGTGACAGCCCCGCTCTGCTGTCTCACAACCCCCAAGGTTCTCTGCTGGATCCCTTGGGCAGGACATTGCCTCAATGCAGTCTAAGTTGAGGGCAGTACCTAGAGCTCTGTTAAGGTTGATACATTAGGTCAACTTGAGCAGTTTAGAAGTTTAACTGAGGACTCAGCAGGGAGCCAGGGTTCTTACTTTGTAAATATCTTTGTCCTGAGCAAGAGGAGGGCATGGAGATTTTGTGAGTGCTACATCTGCCCTGGGGGAAAGAGGTGGCTTGTGTACAGGATAAGGGAGAAGAGGCTCGCTCCCTCCCTCTTTGCTCTGGCTGCTTTTGCTGACTGCTGCCATGAAGTGTTGCCCCAGTGCCAGGCCACCCTGCCTTGGAGCCCGCTGATTGCGGACTGAAACCTCCACAAACTGTGAGCTTAGGGCCTTTCCTTCCTTCATTCTGGGTGTTGGGTGTTTTGTCCCAGCAACAAGAGAAAAGTAATCAAGCCAGCTTCTGAATCAAACATGATCAGAAGAGACGATTCTTCCAAAATATATTCCAAAGTAGATAGGCTGGGAAAGCATATGCAAGAGTTCTTTCTGTTGTCTTCTCCATCTGCCCTTCTGATTCCCCACAGATACAAACCTAAACACCTCCCCCAGGCCACTATAATTAAGTATCAAGGACTCCGCTGGGAAGAATCAGTGTTAAGAAATGTGTTCTGCACATGTGTGAATCTGCCTCGACAAACCCTTTAACTTCTCCGTGAAATAAAACCCAAACGAGCCCAAAAGAAAACTGAACATGTGATTTATTATATTTAAGATTGGTCTACAAGGCTTAAATACATCTGTTGTAGTTAACAGCAAATGAATGCAACTTTACAAAATCAGTATTTCAGTACAGGACTACATATGGCAACCTGCATTGGAAAACTAATATTTCCTCAATGCAGATATGCGGTCTGCAGCCCCCAGACGCTCCCACCACACTCTCAAGCTGCACTGTTCATTACAAGCTGTACTTGGAACTCGAGGCTACCTAAATCAAGCGTTAGAGAAGAGCAGTGGACGACTCATTCAGGCTTAATACGTCCGATCTGGTACAGGATTAAAATACTAAGGTGTTTTTTTCTTAAATGTCTTGGTTCAAATTAATAAATACAAACACAATATAAAAATATACACCAGGTGCTAAGGCTGGGCCACGCATGGCTGGGAAGCTAAATCTCACTCTCGTACGTATGCAGGTAGGTCTTGAGGGACAGGATTTCCGGGTAGCTGCGGCTGGTCTTCCGGAAAAAGTCCAGGCTGGTGAGCTGTTCAATGTCCCGCACCCGAGCCGTGTGCATCTTTATGAGCTCCTCCACCCATTTCGACTCATCCTCCGAGCTCTGCAACAGAAAGCAAGCCATGAGAGCCCGATTTTGCGGAGGGGTCAAGTGTGACTGTCACTCTGCTGCTCCCTCCTGAGCTCCCTGGCTGTCACCCCGCTGCGTTCCTCCCGGGTGGCCCTGCAATCGCTGCCTCCACTGTAACCCCTCCCGGGGGAATCAACAGCGCCAGCCAGACAGGTAAGACCAGACAGGTGAGATCTGTGCTCTCCAGCAGATTCTTCTCACCACAGGCATGAATCAGAGCTGTGGCCAGGGAGCCTGAGAGGTTTGATGATTTGTTTCCCTGGCTGCATCTCAGGAAGGAGCTCGGCCTGATGCCGGTGGGGCACTTGGCTCTGGCGACCCGAGAGGTCAGACTCGGTCCCGGGCTCTGCGGCTCCCTGCTGGGCCACCTGGTCTCGCTACCTGACCTCACCAGGCCTGCTTTCTTCATCGATTTCAAGGTGAGTAGTGCTAACTTCAGCAGCCCTTTGAGAGGAAGAGAAAAGGAGAGGAAGAAAGAAGAGGATACTAAGGAACAGAAACCTCGAGAAGGAAGGAAAGCCAGGCATGGGGATGCATGCCTGTAATCCTGGCACTCAGGAGGCTGAGGCAGGAGGATCACTGTGAATTCTAGCACAGCCTGGACTACACAAGTGAGTTCAAGGCCAGCCTGAACTGCATAGTGATACTCTGCCTCAAAAGAAAAAGGAAGGAGAGAAGGAAGATAGATAGATCTTGTTTATCTTATCTGTTTGATGAAAATGATCTCCTCTCTGGCACAATTGGAAAAATTCATTTGCCTCCCATCACCAGGCTACTTCCAGTGAAACAGGCTTTTGCATCACAAAAAATACATTCTTCCACTTCGGAGGGCCGCTGGATGGAAGAGATTGGGCAGCCTCGGGAGTGAGGACGCAGTCACTGCGCATGCGCAATCAGACAGGAAGTGGGACCATACAGAGGACCCCCTTCCCAGTTGCATTCCCTGCACCCGCAGCGCCCCCAGAGTCCTGGAGGTCTGAGTGCAGCTGCAATGCCCAGGACTGAGAGGTTCGGAAGTGCCCTGCAAACTCAGGTCCACAGCCCCGGAACCTGCAAAGCTTTCCCAGAAAGCTCGAGCCCATGCAGACCCGAGCGGGGCTCCACCCCCATCTGGGCTAGGCTGAATATGCACCTGGAGGCTGTTGCTTCGGGAAGCTGATGCCTGACCACCTCGACAAGGGGAAGAAATGGAAAGAAAGTGCTTTCCAGGCTGGAGAAAGCACATGTCAGCCTTCTGTGCCCCACCCTTCCACCCAACCTGCCCCAGACCTCTGCAAGGCCCAGGAAGTACCTAAATAGAACCCTCTCCGCAATGGCCCTGACCCGTCCTCAGAGTGACCATGTAATTAACCAAGTAGGAGGTCTCCAGATGAGGCCGGAGACCGCAGAGTAAGCACGAGGTTGGATTCAGGGAGAATTTTCACATTCAGCTCGTTTGTTTGATTTTTTTCAATGGTCAGTCAGTCCAAGTTTTCCTTTGTGAATGCAGCCATTTGACTACGCAGTCAGCAACGGAAAGAATTTTCCTGATGTAAATCACGGCCTGCTGGAATTATTAGCACTCACGGGAGAAGAATCTGTCCTTTGCTACTTGTTTCTTTCTTTGAGAAGTGATTTGCCAGTTTGACCAGAGGGGTATTTTTTTTTCTGATTTGCAAATGCTAAAATAGGATCCCTGATTCGTCATTAGGAAACACAGGCAATGGTGCACATAAAGAAAATATAGTATCTTGATGTTAGCTGGGCAATCCGCAGAAGCAATTGTTGGTGAAGACAGGTGAAGATGCAAAACTAACAAAGATATAATAAAAGTCAGGTGTGCACCAAGGTCAGTAGGAAAACTTTAAAAACAAAGAGCCAGGTGTGGTGGTGCCTGCCTATAATTTTAGCACTCTGGGAAGCCGAGGCAGGCGGACTGCGTGTTTGAGCCCAGCCTTAGCAACTGAGCAAGAGAAACATGTATGGGAAGAACAGAAATAGCGAGCCATGGTTCCAGGTGGTGCATGATTAGCAGTGCGGTAATACATATGGAGGCCGCACAGCGCCTGGGTTATAACATGTGCTCATGTAAACTGATGAATGCCACTACTTTAAAATTTGATTCCAAGCAATATTTACAATGTCATCTCCCACTACCACCCCCACTTCCAACATTCTGAACATCGCCCCAACTTCCACCATAACTGAAGCACAGCCCACGAAGCTGACAAACCCCACTGAAGCTGTTCCTCCCCGGCAGCAACTTGTCAACCCACGTCATTTACAGCCTCACACCGGAGCTGCCTGGGAGCAGGGCAACACCTAATACGCTCGAGCACTTCTCCTGGAGCGGCTGCTATGGTGCGCAGAGTGCAGTGCAGTCTGCTAACCGATGCCTGCCCTGTGCATGCACCCTGCTCCTTCTGTGATGGGAAACCAAAGCCTAGAGACTCTCACTTCCTGTCAAACTTGCGGAAAGCACTTTCCATCGCTCGAAAGATGCCTGAAGTGCTTCTATGCCTTGGGCCTGAGTGCTGGGCTGGTGGGGGCTGGGCTGATGGGGGCTGGGTTGGTGTGGGGCTTAGGACAGGGCTGAGCTCAGCACCATCTCCTCTTCCAGCCCAGGGTTTCTCTGTCAGTGTCTGAGTCGGGGGCAGAAAGGGCTGAGCACGGGGCTGAGAACCGGTGACTACTCCCCCTCCTAGTGTAGCCTGATTGCTGAGTCCCTCACCCCACCTCTCTATCTCTCCATTTCTTCCTCTCTCTGAAAATCTTCCCTTAGGGAGACTTCGAAGCATGCCCAGGAGTAGGGAGACTGCTGTGACGAACTGCTTTGACTCTCCTCTCCTCCAGCCCTTGTGGAAACCACACTGCTTTCTCTCTCCTTACAAAATACGAGTCCCTTCTGCAAAACTGAACCCACCCGGGCGCCCTGTGAAGCATCCCTCAAAATCACCCACCCACACACACACACGGACACGGGAACATAAAGCACTGGAGCACCAAGGTCCCGGTGACTTCAAGGAAGTCCCGTGGGCCCTTCTCCTGTCCCCGTTGGGTAACCCGAGTGCCTTCTAGGAAACATGCTCCCCTCAGGGGAGGCAGCGACCCGGCTCACGGTGCTGTCACACTCACACTGCAGCTCTCGTCGTTGTCGGCCCGGTGTGGCAGGACGAAGGCCGACACGGACAGGGGCCCGTCGCACTTGTCAGCCTGCTGCGTGAAGTCCAGGCAGCTGGTGAGGATGCTGTAGTAGTGAGTGGGCACCGGGATGGCGCTGCCTTCCACGTACCTGCAAAGAGGGAACTGTGAGCGCTGTCCTGGGCCAGGGATGACGGGCACCCTCAGTCACCCCAGCTCCTCTGTGCTCCACCTGCGAGGACCTCCCTGCCCAGTGCCCAACTGCCTCTCTGAACGAGATGTTGTCTCTGTCTGTCCCCCACTCCCTTTGAAGCAGGGAAGAAGGATATCCCAGGCCAATAAAATGGCTTGAGCCAACCGGGCGTGGTGACGCATGCCTGTAATCTCAGCACTTGGGAGGCTGAGGCAAGAGGGTTGTCACAAGTTCAAGGCCAGCCTGGGCTACATAGTGAGTTCAGTCTGAACTACACAGTGAGTGTGTTCAAAACAAAAACAATGACTTGAACCAAGAGCTGGAGGCACAAAATAGTGAGAAAATTGATGCTGTAGAAATGAGGCTGGCATCGTGAACAGAAGAGTAAACAGAAGATAACAGATTCCATGCCCCGGAGTGGAGTTGGCTCCAGTTAAGGTTTCGTGATGAGGGGTGTCATCATGAGACCCACATTTCAGGAAGGGGACTTTCAGAGTCTTCAAAAATGGACCAGAGTCGGGGATCCTGGGTGTAGGTGACCAACCACCTTTTCAAACTGCACTGAGATCCCGGAGTGGAGTGCACGCTCATTCACCAAACAAACTGCTAAGAGCTGGGCTCCTGGGACCATCTGAGGAGCACAACAGATCTGCTTGCAGGTAAGCTGACTCGTTACCCTTCTTTAAAATAGCATGCTCCTCTCCAAGTCTGTCTGCAGACTACAGGTGGACAGTCTCTTCCATTCTGTGCTGGCCTCCGACTGTTTCTTGTATGTGTAAAATTAAAGGTCAGCTTATTCTGAATTTCCCTGTATGTGTCTCTCACCTCCTTCACTAAACTGTGAGGTCCTTGTGAGCTGGTGTTTGCCTCAGCCATTTCTATCCCAGTTAGCACCAGGGAGAGAGATGAAAATAATCAACCCAGCCAGTGTATTTCCTAATGAGGTAGCTGACTCGGAAAATACAAAGGCTCTAAAAGTCTCCCCCAAATAATGGGGGCTAAGTGGAAATTCTCTTTTTGTCAAAGAACTGTTGAAAAATAAATCAGAATATTTAAACAGTTTGAGACATTTTCTTTCATGGAATGGAAAACTGCACTTACCTACCATGAAATTCAAAATCCCATTCCAATCACTAGTCCTGTATTTAATCAAAGACTCAAAGAAGCAAAGAATTTAAAAAGAAACTTAAAGGGAAAAAAAGGTTTAAGAGATGTCAACTTTTCTCTAGTACATGAGTATTTTTTAAAATCCTTCGAGTGTGTCTTGGCATTTAAACCACACACGCCGAGCACAGGGAAGCTTACTGCTTAATCTTGTCCTCTGTGTCATGCAGGCCGTCGTAGTCATAGTCAAAAATCGGTCCGCTTATCACGTTAACACCATTTCTCTCCGAAGCGTATTTCTTCACTAACACTCTCTGGAAATAATTCCACACTCCTGTGCAAAGACAAAATCACCTCTTCATGAAAAAACCTTGCTTCAGCCAGATTCTCTCAAGGATGCATTGTACGAGCCAAATGTCACGATCCGAGGGACAATGGCGCTCTGTGACTCATGAAAGGACCCTGTTCTACAGCTTTATCTGTGTGTCATTTCTGACCCAGCGCAGGGAGAGCTCTGGAGCGAGGAGACAACGGTGGGGGAGCTCAGTCTAGCCCGATAAGCCAGGGAGGATTCCCCGCCGAGGTCACGGAGCTGAGGTCTGCAGGACAGGGAGCGGGTGTTTCCTAGGCGGAGAGCTGGGGGCAGAACCCCTGACACAGGGCAGCGGAGCAGAGACCTCCCGCACTTCTGCATCACGTGCCATCACCAAGCCAGCTCCCAAGTCCGTCTGCAGCCTGACCCCTCCTTCCACAGAGATGCAGCTGTGTGACTCAGCCACCGTCTCACAGGCCACTCAGACACCTAACACTCAGCAAGCGGAACACTGCTCCCCCGGGTTCTGCATTTCCCTTCCTGTCGTGGTCACCAGAAACCGGACACCAGGTGTCCAGGCCAAGGTCCGAAGCCTTGGTCCAGACTTCTCTCTGTGCCCGTGAGGCAGGCAGTGTCAGTGTGGCCCCCACAGCATCCCAGCCTCCCATCTGTCACCACTGTCCCTGGTCCCATCCTGTCCTAGGCTCCCGCCCACCCAGGACAGGTGCCACCGTAGAAGGCGACTTCCTGCTTCCCTTAGTCCACATCCCATGTCATCCTCCACTGGGGGAGATGAGTAGATTCCCTTGTGTCACAGTCAGATCCCAGCACCTTCACACCTGCACACACTCCTATGCACACACATTTCTAACAATCCCATGATTCCTCACTCTAACTAAAATGAAGCCTCGCGTCTCGCTCATGGCCCTCACCCCTCTCTGATCTTCCTTCCTGCCCTTCCCGCCTCCGGAGCGAGCCTTTCTCCTGTCCTCCAGCCTGGCCAAACATGCCCCAGCCCAGGCTCTTGCATCTGCTCTTCCTTTTCCTAGAAAATTCATCCCCGACCTGTGGGTGTCTGATTTCCCTCACTTTCTACGTCACCGAGGTTTTGCTCACACATCCCAGCTCCAGGGCACATGCATGAAGACCAGCCAGAGGCACAGGAGAGGACTGGGATGGCAGAAGTCAGGATCAGAGAAGCCCTCCTGCCCGTGGAGAGGAGAGCACCTGGCCCGCTTCCCCCCAGGGCTCCCCGCGCTCCGGATCTCCTGATACCCCCAGGGACAAACCACCTTGGATAATTATTTACAGGACAGCAGGGCAGAAAACCAAACATTAATTTAAGGGGGAAGAAAAGAAGAGAGAGCAAGAGGGATAGAAACAACAATGAGAACAGTCAAAAGGCCAAAGCCACAGAAACGCGGCATGTGAAAAGAGCCATCCCCAGCAAAGAACAGCGAGCTCTCTGTGCAAGGCCTTCCACGCCAGCCCCGGGGTGGTACCATGTGCTCTCTTTATTACTGTTTGGCCAGAAAATGCATCAACAAAGGATAAAGAGATCCAGGAAACCCTGATTAGTGGCAATTAAATGAAGCTGCATTCCATATAATGTTGTGATAAATTTACTAACCAGGACGTCAAATAAACATTGTTTTCCTCTAAACTATGTGAGCCACTTCGCCAAGGGTAAGTGGGGGAGGCTTAATCATCACAGACAGTTTGGACTCACTTGTCCCCGATCTGAGACCCTCGTCCAGCCTGAAAGCCCCCTATGGTAGCCCATCCCTCCCCGCCACGTCACATTAGGGAGAAGTGCTGCCTTTCCTTACCCGCCCCACAGCACATAGGTCTGGTCATTGAAAAGGAACTAAAAGGCGGGGGGGGGGGGGCTATTCCATAATGCTTTCTCTGTGTTTGAATACATGGGTGGATGGGTGGGTGGATGGGATGGGTAGGGAGTAAATGGGTGGGTGGATGGATAGATGGATGGATGGATGGATGATAGATGGATGGGTGGGTAGATAGATGGGTGGGTAGGTGGATGGATGGATGGATAGATGGATGAGGGTTGGTGGGTGGATGGGTGGATGGATGGATGGGTAGGGGGGTGAATGGGTGGGTGGATGGATAGATGGATGAGTAGATAGACAGATGAATAGGTGAGAGGGTGGGAGGATGGGTGGATGGACGAATGGATGGGGAAGGGTGGGTGGATGGATGAGAGGATGGGTGGGTGGGTTGGTGAGTGGATGGATGGGTGGATTGGTAGATGGATGGGATGGGTAGGGGGGTGAATGGGTGGGTGGATGGATAGATGGATGGATGCATGGATGGGTGGGTGGGTGGATAGATGGTTGGATGGATGGGTGGATAGATGGGTAGATGATAGATGGATAGATGGATGGATAGATGATAGATGGATGGGTGGGTAGATAGATGGGTGGGTAGGTGGATGGATGGGTAGATGGATGAGTGGGTTGGCGAGTGGATGGATGGGTGGATGGGATGGGTAGGGGGTGAATGGGTGGGTGGATGGGTAGATGGATGGCTAGATGGATGGATGAATGGGTGAGTGGGTGGGAGGATGGGTGGATGGACGGATGGATGGGTGGGTGGATAGATGGGTGGATGGATGGGTGGGTGGGTGGATGGATAGTAGATGGATGGATGATGAATGGATGGGTGGGCGGATGGGTGTGTGGCTGGATAGATGGGTAGATGAGTGGGTGGATAGGTGGGTGAGTGGATGTGTACACGGATGAACAGATGTATGGATGGATTAGCTAATTTTTATTATGGAAAATAGAAAATGGATTGTTTTGTCACTAGAAAATCAGATCACAAATCCATATAAATCATGGAGGTCATGCAATAAAAAATCCCTTAACTATACAAATGAGAGGTAAATGGCTTTTTTATGATTATGCAGACAATGGTCACAGTTCTAACTAGAACTTGGTTTTGGGGGCCAGAGATTACTATGCTTACACAATTTATAGAATTGCACAAAAACACTTACGCCAGATATAAATAAGGCATGTATTCTAAGAGACTAGTAATTCTCATAGCCTTAAAATCATCTAAAATCAATATTCTCATGAATCAGAAAACCCTTTTAGCTCTTACTGGCCTCTAACACTAACATTCAGAATACCTGAACACCCCAAAGGAGAGGTGTTAGTGGCTTTTGTTGAAATGTTCAGTGAATAAATACAGATGGCTGCTACATGACCACTGCTGGTCATGTAACCTCGAAGACTTGGTGTTGACCCTTTTAAACCATTGAAATAGGGACATTAAAATAGAAAGAACAGCAAGTTAGCAGAAAAACACAAACACGCTCCAGTTCAACTCCTGCCATTCATGACCCAGGTCACTTCTTGTGATGTCAGTGTCTTAATTATACACAGCTTCCCTCAAAGATTCAAATTTGAGGTCAACAGTAAGGAATTTATATGAAAGCGCTTCAAAACATATAATGGCTAAATACATGGAAGGTGTTATTATTATTAAAATCAATATAGAGGTAGAAAAGGTAAGCAGTAAATTTAGAAATACTTATTTTCATAAGTCACAGTTTATTAGGTAAATATTGGACTTACGTTTAAAAGCAGGGTACATTGGCACCATATTGGTTACGAGGAATGCATCATATTTAGCTTCTGGCGAAGAGCTCAGATCTAAGCATCAGGAAAACAAACAGTGTCCATTGCTGTAGCAGAATCTCCATCCACAGAAGAACGACCTCACAGGATGGCCCAGCTCATAAACTGAAGGCTCTATTCGTCTAGTCCTCCTCTAGAGGGGTCCTCCATCTCTCACACTGACCTGTCCTCCTACTTCGTTCTTGAGTTCAGTAAGTATTTTGTACAACAATCCCTCGATTCCACCTGTACAACTTAGCTTTAAAAAGTGTCATCGAGATACAGAGAGCAAATTAAAGGGCTCCAAAAGAGCCAATGGCTTGAGGACTATTTCTCTTTCAGAGTCTCAGTTAAGGGGCAGAGTAGGCACAGAGGAGGTTCCCTTGCATTTACCATTCCCCTGGAGAATTGGATTTTGGAAAGTTGGGGGGTTTTTGGCCAATTTTGGAAGAATCTCATTGATGTGACTTCTATAATGTCCCCAGGGCCTTTCCTAAAGAGAACCTGAGCTATGGACAGCCTGAGGAGCCAAGTTTCTCGCTCCAAATTGCAGAGACTGCAGTGCTCGGGAACTTACGGGGCGGGAAGAGGAAGCCGTAGGACATCTGCTTGTCGTTTTTGTAGGCCAGGCAGTTCTGGCTGAAACCCGGAGAGATGCGGACGTCGGGGCGCACACAGCTGCTCAGGTGCTCGGGGATAACAGAGAGCTCAGCCTGCAGGGGGTCAGAGGCGACTAGTGACACAAGCGTAGACAAAGGACACACGGCAGGGACAGGGACGGCGGATGGACGCCAGGTCCGGCCGCTCCAGCCCGATGTCTGCACGGCGCCTCCTGGTCTGATATCCTGACTCCTCACATAAAAGCCATTCGTCTCAAATACAATAAACTGGTCATTTTCAAACTCCTATTTCTCAGTAGCAAACTCATAGGAGCCTTAAACGAAACAATTTATGAAGAAGAAATCACACTACGGACATAAAAAGATCTCCAGAAGATCGCTCAAAAACTAACACTCTTAAAAATAATCAGGGTGACCTTGTAAACTCAGTGGGCGTGTACCCCTCGCATGCTCTGTCTGTAAAATACACATAAAATGAGCAAGAGCCCACATACGTGTACATGGTGCAAATAACAAGGGCAGCCGAAGTATTTTCTTCATTTATATTCAGAAATTAAAGCATAGGTCAACTGACAAACAATTTTTTCTAATTCTTGATATATGGCCAAATAGCTTCATCAAACTGAAACCTCAACGCAAAACTCCGACTAAAATACAAACAAGATGCTCGCCATGACGAAGCTTGAAGCAGGTCAGGGAAGACGTCAGAACTCTCTACGCTTTCTATTGAATCTTGCTGCTGACTGAAAGTTTGGTGACACACCTCTGTAATCCCAGCACTCAGGAGGCTGAGGCAGGAGGATCATCATGAGTTTGAGACCAGCCTGGGCTGCACAGTAAGTTCCAGGCCAGCCTGAATTACAGAGAGACAGAGACCCTGCCTCAAACAAACAAATAAATGGTGGCTTGGGAACTATCTTATAATTTAAGAAGAACATAATATTGAAAAGAATTAGTATGCTGTCTTCAGTATTTAATCTATTACCATGGTACTACTAAAGCACCAAATAAATGCTCTAAGTATCTTGTAATAGATCCAGCAGAGGATTTCTTCCATCAGGAAGCATTAAGATTTATTTTCTAAGATAAAATTCTGTTAAGCAAGCAGTCGTCAAACTGCGCTAAGGACTGCAATGGAACAAAAAGCATAAAACCCAACTTCCTGAGCAACCTGTTTGGCGACGGTGTAGGAGGTCCAGAGAGGCATCAGGAAAACCTCACTGTAGCCGCTTTCAAAGTCAGTGTGGTACAAGATGTCGTATCTGGTCCGGTAAAGCACTGCAGGCCGTCCATACAGGAGATGCCTCTCTAGGACAGAAAACAGTAACAATGCATTGTGTTAAGTGCATATTGAATTTTACATCAGATGTTAAAGAAGCATCACGTTGTCTAAAAATGTTCCAGCTCACTTCCTAAACACACGGCACCTTCCTGATTTAATCAAGGGCTCGCCTGGCACGCAGGAAGTAAACCTGTTCACATCAGCCCAGTTCAAAACTCGCAGTTACCCGAGCTACACTGTAAACGCCGTCCTGATATCAGTGCTCTCTTAGGGTCAGGAAGTGTAAATCTGTTTAGAAAGGAAACATGACAAGTGCAGAATGATTCTGCTGATGAAAATCCAATAGGCTTGGGGTGTTTTGTAGAATTAAACCATCTGCCCCTTGAGGGGTGTGTCGGGGAAACTGGTGATTTAATTCAGAAGTCTCCCTGGTACGTCGTTGATAAGTTGCAACTTAAATCTACACTAGTTCAGCCTGCAAAGTGGGTAGAGTCAGCGGCTGTGTCCCGTGGAGCTCCTCTCTTCAGGGAGGAACTCAAAGGAACACATAGAGGTTCTCAGGAGGGCCCCTCGAGAGCGGAGCAGAGAGGTCCATGTTCACCCAAGAACCTGCATAAGACTCCAAACTCAGGGCCAGGTCTGCCATGGAGGCCCTCCTCTTAGGGGGAAATAAAAGGCCTGGAGTCCTACTCTTGCACGCAAACCTGCATCCAGGAAAAGCTAAAACTTCCAAAGGTTCTTGGAAACTGGGGTCCCAACAGATTAAAATATTTAGAGATTGAGAGTCAGGTAATTTGGGATTTCCTAAGTGATATAAAACAATCTAACTTTTAAAATTGTTTTTTTATTAGGAAAATACCAGTTCTGCTAACTTATTAAAGTATGTACACCTATGGATTTCACTGAAGTGCTATCACTCTATGCACGCAGTGGAGAAGACCCCTCGTAGAACATTTTGCAAGACTCTGCCAAGTAGCACCTCTGGGTTAGGCCTGTGGCCTGCAGTCAGATGATGACACCGGCCTGCCTGGGAGTTCAGCCTCCTCAGCACTGCAATAAATGCAGAAGCTTTGCTTAAGCTGTCAGATTTGGGGGCCCACCCCTCAGAGTTAGAATGAAACATGGCGACAGGAAATAAGTTAAATCTAGGACCAACTGAGAAGCCAGAACGTCATTACAGTCACACCGGGAGGCACAGAGAGAACCAAACCTTTTCTAGGTTCGAAATGTCCAATCATGTTTCCTTTTTGCTGCCTTTAATTTGCTGGTCTCAGCTGGAAGAAGAAGCATCAGGCCGTTTTAAGAAGCTCTGCTCTTTGCATCATGAGAGTTTTAATGCTTCTGGAGTGCATTTCTTTTTTTTTTTTTTTTGTCTTTTTCCTTTTTATCGGTACCAGGGATCGAACTCACGACTGCCTGCTTTCAAGGCAGGCGCTTATGCCGCTGAGCTAAACCCCCAGCCCCATTTCTTCAAATGCAAATTCCGGCTCCCTCCAAACAAGGAACAACTGCAACTCTGCTTTACCCGAGAAGCCCTCCTTACAGCGGCCACCGAGCAGGACAGGTGCTCCCCCCGCCGCCCTGCCCTTCCTGCCTGCAGTTTCCTCCTCTCTTAGCATCCCTAACACAGCGCTCCCCTCCACCAGGGCTGCTTCACCGGAACCCTTCTCACCATGGCTGCCAGCGCTCTCTCCCACTCTCCACTCTCCCCCCCACAATAGCCTTTTCCATCTTCCTCAGCTCTGCCACTTTCCCCAGTTCATCCCTTAACAACACATCCCTGCCACCAAACATTTCCTGGGAACTTTCTCTGTGCCAAGCTTTGGGCTGCAGGGTGGAGACGGTGAACCTCGAAGAACCCGCCACCCAATGGGAAAGATGAGGGTGACACTGGGAACCAGCTCACAGTGTGGCCTGCCCTCCATCAGAGCTGTTTCAGGGCTCGATGGGAAGCAGAGGGTGACCGGTGGCACAGATAGGGTGAGAGGCCCCGTAGTGTCCTTCACACAGCAAAGGAAATTGAGTCAAGGGACAGTACATCTCAGTTTATGGCTGTGGCCCTCGCGTAATTGTTAATATCCATTTCATGCTGAAAGTGAATGACAAACAATACAGTCACAGAATTAGGCCATCACGGAAGAGGCAGGAGGAGGACAGGGACAGATAGGAGACCCAGGCTGCCAAGACGTCTTTAGATTTGCTTTCTTCTGAAATGCCTCTGCAGTCAAACTTCTCTGACTCTACAGCTCTGGGTCTCCCAACTCGGCTTACTTCGGAACTCTGGAAATTTGACTTCCAAAATTTTTTCATTATTTTTGAGACAGGATCTCACTATGCAGTTCAGGCTGGCCTTGAGCTCACTTTGTAGCCCAGGCTGTCCTTGAACTCATAGTGATCCTCCTGCCTCAGCCTCCCCTTGCTCCAGTGCTGGGATTACAGGCATGTTCCACCACGCCCAGCTAGCTTCCAAATTATTGACACAACTGCAATTTTTGAAACAGAAATGGGGCACAGATATGTACTATTACCTAATTTGCTTTTATTCAGTCCTTACGGGGCATAAGAAAAAAATGCAGTGATTTTGACACCTCCTAAAGTGCAACCAAGATCCCCAACTGACATTCTCTTCCTATCCAGAATGTTTAAAAGCCACTTGGTCTTACCAGTTCTATGGTTTCATCCAAAAAAGAAGAGAAATAATCTTTGCAGTAAAAATCACATATTTTAAGGTGCAGAATCAAAATTTAAATTTTGTTGTTTCAGATTATCAAGTGTCAAAGAGCCACAGGTCCTCTGACACAGCCTGACTCCGATAGCCTATCCAACCTCCTGGGTGGGCCACAAGTCGCATTTCTGTTTAGAAGAAACTCAGATCCCAAAATGTACTTGAATCTCAGTCTTTACACAGGTTCTGATCTTTATCTCAGAAGTCAACTGGAGCCCTCTGTTTTAAAAAGGTGACATGTTCCTGTGATTTCTTTTTTTCTTTTTTCCTCCAGTACATGACACACAATGTGCCCACCGTTTTTAATAGTGACCTTTTAAGACCTTCCAAAATCTCTGACACAGTAGCTGTACCATGCTCAGGTACAGCGATATCCAGGTACACAAGCACACTGTAATGATCGTCAGAGCCACCTATATTTGTCACCCAAACATTTATCACATCTTGGGGTCGGGAACATTCAATGTTTTCTCTATGTGCTATTTTGAAATATTCACCTAATTTTGCAGATGTGGCCACCCTAGTGTGCAGTAAAGCCTTAGACATTAACCCTCCTTCCCTCCCCTGGGGAACCACGCTCCCCCGGGATTCCTCGCAAGGGTCAGGCTGGCCTCTTCCTCCCGGAACTGCAGGCAGAGCCCCTTCCACAACCTCGGCCCTGTTTCCAGCCGAGACTCTGGCCCTCCACCCCGTGCCAAGGTTCTTCAAATCCCACACTTGGCAAAACACTGGGAGACAAACCTTTTAAGTGGTGCAGCCTCCCCCGCACTCACCCCTGTCTTGCAGAGTTTGGTCATGCGGACTTGAGTCTGTGTTTCTTTTCCCTCCTTGGCTTCCTGATTCACATTCCCACGGATCGGCTGGCAGACTTAAATCCACATGAAAAATATCTCTCCTCTTTTTTGATGTTTCTGTTATTTTTTAAACATTCACCCTCACAATAACACGCTCTCACATGGGACCACAAAACCTCCACACGGGGTCTCTCGTCTTCCCTGTGCTTTGTGCTGCGCCTTACAAGTGCTTATTACGCTCACGGCCCTGTGCCCCTCCTCCGGGATTCCACAGTCCTCCCTGGGCGCCCCATTCTTTCTCCCCTCAACTCTTAAAACAGGGCCCTTCATGGATGTACTTGCTGAATCCTACAGCAGAGCCCTAACTGTGCACACAGGGACTTCATCCCCCTTCTCCGTCTCCATCTCCTGGCATGCTGGCCACATCATAACTGGCCCCATAATACTCACTGGTAAGTCAGTCACTTGTTTTGGTACCAGGGATCGAACTCAGGACCTCGAAGTTACCAAGCAAACAGCTGAACCGCCGAGCTAAGTCCCCAGCCCAAGTCAGGCAATCTTTATGACAAACACAGACACTCAGCTGGTGTCTCCAGATGCCACACCTAATACACTCCCGAGACAGACTCAGGACAGACAGCTCCACGTTACTGATGAAGGAAATGGAGATTTAGGATTTGTACAGTGTAACTCAGCTGCACAGCGGCACCCAGCCTGGGCCTCCAGTGGTCTGGCACAGTAGTCTTTTCTGCAGCCCCTGGGGCAGTCTGCACTTGGGTAATAGCTGCTGGGTTACCCTAGTGGAGGACGTCAGAGTGAACACCGTGTGCTCCTGGGGTGAGCACCATCTGAGGAAAGCCTGCTAAGTCAGCCTTAGCAATCCCTAACGAACACAAGAGTGTGGATCAAACCTTTTCAGATCCCAGAAACAGCCTCCTAACCCTGACACACACTGGCGTTCTCTCTTGACACACTGTCCCACACCAACTCTGAGAGTAAGAAGCGTTTTCAGGGGAGATCACAAGGGCTTCAGTGGGGTTCAGTACTGGCAGCAAGTTCATCTCAGCTCCACAGCTCTGTGACTCTATAACTTAACCCCCAAACGCTGCAGGCTTCCTGGTACACTGATCCATTCCGAGTGAAATACACAAGGCACCAAACTCAGGACTCCCTGCGGTGCTTCTAGTGGTTTACTAAAGCATGCACGGTCCACTTCAGTGTCCACAGAGAAGGCTGGTAGGCAAACATCTTCAAATTTATCATGGCTCCTACAAATCACAAGCAGTTATGCTGTGTGTCAGTCTGTTCCGGGTTTCCTCCAAGATACACAGACATCCACACAAGGAAACATAGGGATTTGTCCTTCCTTTTACACAAAACTAACATCTCCAAAGAAATAACAAAAAACAAGAAACATTTCAGAGTGGGAAACACCTAGAGAGTCTCTCTCTCTAACCATATTCAGGAAGCTGTTTTAAAGTTAATAAGAATTACTAGTGATTAAATGATTATGTCTACCCAAGCTAACTCTTCATTGTGTGGGGAGCATTGTGGGGAGCAAACATATATAGGTGATGAAATGATTTTTAATTTCTTTTCACAAAAGATAACCGTGAGTGGCCGGGTGTGGTGGCGCACACCTGTAATCCCAGCACTCAAGAGGCTGGGGCAGGAGGATCGTTGCAAGTTCAAGACCAGCCTGGGCTACAAAGTGAGCTCAAGGCTAACCTGGGTTATAAAGAGAGCTCAAGGCTAGCCTGAATGGCATAGCGAGAGCCTGTCTCAAAAAGACAAGAAAATAAATGAATAAATACAAATTTTAAAACTTAAAGGTAACTGTGAGTGCTAACTCAAGGAAATATCACATTTCTGCAGTATTATAATAGAGAAAAAACTAAAATGGAAATAAATTGTTCACTTACTCTGACAGTGAAAATTACACCCAGCTTTCCTGCCAGAAATGCCTGCTATGAGAGATTTTAACTTTTTCATTTCAGCCAGGCACGGTGGCACACACCTGTGACCCCAGCACTGGGGCAGTAGGACCACAGTGAGTTGAAAGCCAGCCTGAACTACACAGCAAGACTTTGTCTCAACAAACAAACAGAAAGGCCTGGGGTCGTAGCTCGGGGTAGAGAACTTGCCACGCGAGTGCAAGGCCCTGGGTTCCATTCCCAGCACTGCACAAAAAAATTAAATTGCATTTATTCCATTTCACTCATTCATCCACTGATCTGATGCCACAAGAAAATAAATTCTCACGCCAGGGTAATTCTGCCAAAAGACTGAGCAGCACTTGCTGTACAAGTCAGTCCAGAATTTGCCACCTCTCTAGAGGTGTTCTGACCCTAACCAACAGTGCAGGCCACCATTTCTGAAGAGAACATTGTTCTCCCTCTTCATTCAAGTATTTGCAGCAAAATGTCACCAAAGATTAACTGAACATATCTCTTTTCCAACATCCCCTGGCTACAGCTGGTCTGTGCAGCTTTTATACCTGTTCTCTCTCTCTCTCTCTCTCTCTCTCTCTCTCTGTGTCTCTCTCTCTGTCTCTCTCTCCATGTCTCTTTTGAGGCAAGGTCTCATGTGCAGTTCAGGCCAGCCTTCAGCTCACTTTGTAGCCCAGGCTGGTCTCCAACTCACAACGATCCTCCTGCCTCAGCCTCCTGAGTGCTGGGACTACAGGCGTGAGCCACCACGCCCGGCTACACCTGTGCTTCCTGTGGATGTCTGAGGACCTTTACAGGCTCTGGCATTAAAACAGTCACACCTGTTCTGACTCTGTACTTGTTGTGAAAAACATCAACTACTTACATCTTTGCTTTAAACAACAAGTAAAAGTCATGTGCTTTTATACTTGTATAGAAATTTAATTTTATAAACACTCTATGAGCATCAGCACATGTTAAACATATCCAGAAAGGGAAATTCTTCTTCTGAATCTGACGCGTCTGCATACACACACAGTGATTCACACTGACTATTTTAAATGGGAGACTGGGTTTACCACACAGGAAACAGCATAAGACCTGAAAGGCTCAGATCAAAAAAAAAAAAAGTACTGCTTTATTCCTGAAAAAATGACCATGAGAGAGTCCATAACGAGAAGGGAAGAAGAGGAGGCGGAGAAGGAGAGAGACAGGGAGAGATTAAGACCCAGAGACAGAGACAAACAGAAGAGAAAACATGGGGATCTAGACACATTCCAGAAGCTAAACGCAAAAAGGTTTTGTGCATAATAAAGCAATCATATATGCTCATTTGTATTTCCCGTACTATTTAAAGTCCTTCTCATGCCCTCACAGGCCGGGCCGGGCCCATGAGCGTGCCCAGTGGGTGTGCATCGGGTCTGCCTTCTTGTTCCGTGCCCCCATTTTGAAACTGCGGGTTAGGAACCCTCAGAACGGGAAGAGCCTCCAAGAAACCTGAGCCAGCCCAGGGCACGCACTCAGCAAGCGCTGAAGGAATCCACAGGGCTCTGCTTCCATAAGATTACATAAAGTTTAAGCTTCGGGATGGAAAAAAAAAGACCTAGAGTCACAGATGCACCAAGAGGGTGATCTTATTTCCATGCGTGGAGGTTGGAGCTACTGTGTGTTCTGAGCTGGGGACCAATTCTGTCAGGCTTTTTTCTCAGAAGTACTTTAGTGCCACAGACAGAGTTTGAATCGGGCAAATCATACGAGTCCGTTAAAGTTAGAGTAGTTTCATTAGTGACTTTTAGAATAAAAAACATTTCATATTTCTTTGTTTGTTTACTATTTGGAACTCAAATCATGACACCTTTTGTATGCCCTTGACCCTGGCAACACCCAATCTCACTTATGACAACACTGTCTAGTTTGCTGGAGCCCAGGGGTCGAACGTTCCAAGTTCCCTGTGGAGGATGTGTGTGGTTCCCAGCAGCACAGTCCTGTGTCTAAGACTGGGTTTAGCCAACTGGACGTCAGAGTCTGTGTGTTTTGAGATCAAAGGGAAAAGCAGGAGGGAAGGCCACAGAAAGGAAGGAAGAGCCCGCTGAAGATCTTTAATAAGAGGGAAAATAGATTCAAGTAAATGAAATCTATCTGATTGGAGACGGCACCTCGGGTACACAGAACCAGCGGACTGACCAGGACTGGGACCGTGTGCGTCTTTCCCACATGGCTCCGAGCCCTCCTCAGACCCAGTGCACCCGCATAACCTGTTCAGAGCCTGCCCCCGTTGAGATTTTCTTCTAACTTCCTGGAACTTCAAAATCAGAGGAAGGCATGCACGGAAGGTTCTAGTGTTGCTCCTGTCCCCAGCCATCGCCATGTGACTTGCAGCACAGAGCCCTCGTGGAAAGAACATACTTCCCTGCACCGCTGGAACCACATGGCTAGCTGTGGCTGGTGACCCCAAAAGGGAAGTGAGGTAGACCTCAAAACAGCAAAGCCTGGAGCTCCGCTTCCAGGTTCTGCGCACTGTCACCGGCAGGCGGGTCCCAAACAGCAGCCACCCTCTCCGCCCAGACTCCAGACCAGAGGACATGGAGGGCAGAGCCACACTTAACCTACAGCCCGCTCACTGGAACGCCAGCAAGGTGTGTGTCTCTTGGGGGCACAAATGGCTGAGTTATTTTTTTTAACTGTCATATCAAAAGTCTGCCAAAAATTACTAACAAATGATAATTATCCTTGCATGGAAAACAGGACAGTAACAGAGCTCACCATGCTCCTTTAAGATGTACCAACTCCTCACGATGAATGCATTCATTATGGATCCCAAACATGTACTAATAAAAATATTTTATAAAATGAGCCTTTATGTGAAAAAGGAATTCTGACTTGATGTGTTTCTGTCCCTGATGACACAGACACCAAGTGTCCAGGGCAGCACAGCTCATTCCATGTAGGTCCTGCTTCTGTTACGATTATTTTTAATTAGTACACATCCGTGATATATGATAAATACGTTCATCCTGGAGAGGAGGTACAGGTACCCTTTGTGTATTGATCCTTATATTTGTAATTGTGACCTCCGTTCTCTTCGCAGGAGCTCCCCTCAGTATCGTAACACAGACTTACCAGATGCACAATGGACCCTCTGTTTTCTTGAGGGCTTACAAGCTATCGAGCAAAATGAAGCAGTGAACAGAATTCTCCTGTCATTCAGCTGCAACCTGTACAGTACAACAAACCACACCCTTTGCCACGTGGATGGAAGTCTCGCTTTGCAATACAAATATGAAATGTTAAAATGCTGTGCTTACATTGTAAAGTAACCAGAAAGTGCACAACGTTTGGAAACCAGAAAACAAACTTTACCTAATTGTTTCTTCAAACAGTTCCTTACCTTCGGTGGACTCTTTGGTATGGAGGCGTTTGTTGAGTTCATCCAATTTGTTCTTCATGTGTGAAAACCAGAAAAGGAAACAAAAAAGTAAATCAGAAATGTTCTTTCTTCCTGCACCCTGCTTAGCACTCTGCTAAATTTAAAAGAAGATCTGAAACTCGGCCGATACCATAAACTGCCCAAGGAATCAATATTTATCTCACACACACGTGCTAAGCTTTGCTTCCTAATACTAAGCATCTTCTTTCACCTCTGAGTCTGTTTCTTTTCCTTAAAACTGTGAGTAACCATTACACCAAGCTCCCACACTGGTAATGAGGGATACATATAATAATCACTATCTTAAGTTAGCTTACGTGTGTAACAGTGCCTCAGTAGTCACATTAATCCTGAGGTGTGCTAAACAATTTCCAACCTGATGTATCAATCTGCTTTTGCTACATCTAGAAAAGTAGCACTTCAGCCACCCAAAACTGAACAGCTCGGCAACTCTGCCCCTCACTGTGTATCTAGCTCATGTGTACAGAAATGCCTTTATAGTAATGTCTGTTGCAGGAGCCCTGGAGGGTGAAAAGGGCCAGGAAGGGAGACTGAGCAATAAGAGACTTATTTTCCATTTCCCAGAGGCATAATAGAAAAACAACACACATATCTGTAATAATGAAACTGTACCACAGACAACAACGCCGGATCGTCCTACTTGGGACGGGTTAATTAGCAGCCCTGGTTCACTCCTGCCACTGGAACCACAGACTGGCAGCTACAAAGGTCTCTGAGCAATGGTCAATGAGAAAGCCTCTGCTCAGAGCTGGAATTTGGTGCTGGAGACCTGGGCGACCACAGCGTGATGGGTGCTCTCAGCAGTGACACCAACCCCTCCCCCACCCTACCGACACCTGAATGGCAGCAGAGGGGAGAGACGAGGTATCACCCTCACCCCTCTCCGCCAGGTTCTTGGGTGGCAGCTGCAGTCTCCCACCATTCCTTCCTCGCCTGCTGGCTCTCTCTGTTCCCCTTCCCACTGGTGGGAGGCACCGTGTGGCCCCAGAGCTCATCACAGCCCCTCAAAGACCTCCATCCACAGAGACAGCCTTTGTATACAGGTCTCTCATGAAATATGATGGAAACAATCCTTTTTAAAAGTGCCTTGGGAGCCAGGTGTGGTAGCACATGCCTGGAATCCCAGCACTCAGGAGGCTGAGGCAGGAGGATTGCTGCGAGTTCTCGGCCAGCCTGAGCAACAAAGTGAATTCAAGGCCAGCCTGCAGTGCACGCAAGACCCTGTCTCAAAAAGCCAAAATAAGTAAATAAATAAAAGTGCCTCACAGCCATCTGCTTGCTGTGAGGATCAGGACCAACAGCCTCACAATCAATGAACCAGTGAAAGCACGCGCTTGGTCCCCTCCCGCTACCTGTGCTACCCAACTCTCAGCTTCGAATAATGAGATCAAGTGTTCGTCCTCGTGGCCTCGCCAGCCAATTCCATTTTGGAGGGCAGCAAACTAGAAATCATTTCAGCATCACAGGGCGGCCTCCGGACAGCGCTGCCCCGCACCCCTCCAGCTGTCACTCGAGGACGAGGTCGTTTGGCCTCTGGCTCTACCTTATCATCACAGGTGCAGCCCAGGTCGAAGTCCGACTGCAGGTACATGACTCCCGGGTAGTTTGGCCTGCTCACTTCCTCCGGCATCACCGGCCGGAAGGTGCTGCTACGCAGCAGGTGATTGAGGCTTCCGTGGGTCCCGTTATTCGGAGCTGGCTTTAATCCCAGGAGATCTGGAGCAAAGGAAACGAGTCACCAGCTTCTTAGGAGCTCGAGACAAGTCACAGTAAGGATGGCGCTCGCTCCCCTCCCAGGGTCTGTGCACCCCCAACACAAATCAGAATCGGATAAACCCAGATTTAGAGGGCAGCCCCGTTCACATTTGGGCACACACAGAGGTATTTCCTCAAAACAAGGAGCAGCAGGAGGCACGGAGCCTGCTGGCCGTCACCAACTCAAGGACGATCAGCCTCAGTGTCTTCACTGTCCTCCCCTGGGGCTTCTAAAAGCCAAATTTTGAAATGAGACCTATCATCAATAAATAACCACCAGCCTGCCCTCTCATGCCCTCCCTGGAGGCGCGGGGACAGAGGGGAGGCTTTGGCCGTGCGCCTCCCATCACCGAGCTGATTTCACAGTGAGGGATCGAGTGCCAGGGCCTCGCCCAGCAGAGACAGGGCAGCAGGGAGCCGGCGGCCAAGATGCCCAGAGAACCCAGGAGCTCGGACTCAGAGGCTCCCCCTCTAACCACCAGACTGGCACTGCCTCACTAAATAGGAAAAGCTGCCCTCATTCAGTGACTAGAAGCTCAAGGAAGAAAAATAATTAGAATCACATAAATAGCTGGCCAGGGTGCAGGCTGGCAAGGTTTTAACAGAGCTGCCATGGACAGGACGGGGAGGGAGCAGGCTCTGTGGGCCGCTCTGCTGCCCTGGTCTCTGACCAGCATGCCGGACTGTAATGCTATGTTGGATCAGCCAGAGGCTGCCAACACCAACACCAGGAAAACTCCCGGCTCGGCAACTGTTGATGGAGACAAAGAAGCCATAGAAGAGGATGGTACTCTGTCCTTTGAACCAAAGGGCGAGTGACACTCTTTCTCTGCGGGAGGAGGAGATGATCTCAGGGACAGACACCTCCTTTCTGTCTCTGACTCTGAAGAAGTCACTATGCTAACTACAGATCAGTTTGCCCATCCTGATTTAAATATGTGACTTACCACACATGACATTATAAAGCTCAATGTTTTCAAATGGAGGCACTTTAGTCTTGTATTTAAATGACGGGCCATAACCTACAAAAACGGTCTTCCAAAAGGAAAGAAAACACGAAAGCAATGAACCATTCCCAGCGTTCAGCACGAAGAACACCCCACCTCCCCACCCTCGCCCTTCCGGGAGTCACCAGCACGCAGGGTCCACTTCTCGCTCTGTGATCCTACCTGCATGCTGCTGACCTTGTTATCAAATCCATGATCGCCCTGGTAGAAACACTTGCCTGTAGGTTTCTTAGAAGAATCCATAGGTTTCCTGCTTGAAACAATGATAATATCAGTTGATATTTCTCTTGGAATTACTCCGATAAAAAGTCGACTTCAGGGTGTAAAAATGGTCTCTGAGAAGGAGTTTTTGGTTTTTCATTTTTATTTTATTTTATCTATTTTTGGCACCAGGGATTGAACTCATGATCTCGCACTTACCAGGCAGGCGCTTATGCTGCTGAGCCAAATCCCCAGCCCTGAGAAGGTTTTGAAAGGTACTTTGTGTCTTTTGCTTTGATAATCACCCCGAGATAAAGGGGGACCCCAAGGAACCACACTGGGCAGAACACTAGTCCTCAGCAGTGCTGGCCTGCCTGTGCGTGCCCTCGCTGTGAGACCAGAAGGCTCTGGACCAGGGCCCTCGCCTACCCCAGACTCAGCAATCAGTCAGCACAGGTCTCTGTGTGGTGAAAATGTCTGGGTGCAAATTTACCTGCCGGCTGAGTCCAATGACAGTGACCTTACTAGTGAGCATTGTGTAGGGCCAGAGTGGGGACAGTGGACTCCCCTGAGTGATTTTAGGGGGAAGGGATCAGTTTTTTCCCCATTTAATAGGATATTGGCAGTAGCTTTGGCATAAATGCCTTTTTCAGATCGGGGTGATCTCTACTTGTCTTCTTCAAGTGTTGTCTCATGAGTGGATGTGAGGTTTTTGTCAAAGGCTTTCTCTGCATCGACTGCAGATAACACCTCGGTAACACCACAGTTAAGTTCAAAGCCTTCGGTGCTGTCTCGATATCAACCCACCACCTGCATCAAGTCTGCTCTCTCCCCAGATCCCCTACATAAAGTGACTTGGGAGGACAAGGCCATCCAGGACACTGTGTCCCCCGGAGCGCAGTAGCTCTGCGAGAAGGCCTCGTGTCTAGGCTATGTGGTAGCAGGAGTTCCTGGTCTCCGCGGGTCTCGGCTCACAGCTCTGTGTATGTAACTTGCACACCTGTGTCTTCCTAACGTTCCATGCTGACACCCCTCCCAGAGGACCAGCTCTGTCTTCTCTCCCTCGGGGACTCAGAGAACCCAGCTGGAGTGTGTATGGCAGACTCCCATCACTGTTGCAGGCTCATAGATCTTTCTTAGGAAGAATAGGGGACCAAGAGTGACTGAGAAAGGGCTGTGTCCAGGTCCACGTGAAAACGAACCTACTGATGAGCTCTTTAATCCCACCCAGAACCTCCACACATGGCCTATACTCGGTTCGGAAGCAAAGGCTGTAATCTTTAAAGCAAGATAGTCTTGGTAGCTCTGAGGAAGGTAAACAATGAAAATACCAAAAGCCACATAAAAACAGGTCTACAATTACAGGGATCTTCAGATTAACGTTTCTTGACGTCCTCTACAAACACTGCTGCAGACAAAGTTATATCAACGGAGAACATCTTCGAGCGTGCTAGAAGATTCTAGCTATGTTTTTGACTTGTTCAAGTAATAAAACTATAAGTTAGAATGTTAATTCAAAAAAATGAAACACACACTCACACACAGATACAGGGGCAGACCACAGACACCACGATACTGACACTGGGAACAAAGGAGTGGGTCCTCTTGGTAGTAATTACTCATCCAGGGCACAAAATCTTTGGAAACAGTGAGATTTCCACCTGAGATTTCTTCCACTGAAGACCAGAGCCTTGAAGAATTCCCTCGTGGCCCTGAAGATGAGACCAGGGACAGCCAGTCCCCAAGTTACCTTGCCACGTGCCACCTGCGGTCCACCAGCAAGTGGACATCCTCGATCCTTCTGTTGTTGGCATAGTGCAAACGTTTGGGGAGGTGCTGCTTCAGGTAAGGCTTGAAGTGCTGGTCTGGTCTTTTACACTGAAACACAAGGAGAACCGGCCTTCAGAAGGAATCCCTCCTGCAGCGGCCCTAAGTGTCCTGCCCCTTCCATGCTGAAGCCGCTCTTAAGGCAAAGGAAAGGGGACTGGTGAGTACCTAGAATGTGCTGCCACCTATCAGAGCGGGCTCAGGGAGGAGAGTGAGGGGTCCCTGAGACGCAATTCCAACCCAAGGGCTTTCTGGAGCCGTGGGAACTGGGGAACCAAGGGAGGGCTATCCCTGCACAGGCCAGTCTGAGGGTGCCCCCTGGGCCCGCATGGGGCACACACGCAGGGGTGGGGGCATCGCTGCAGGAAGGAAGGGGAGGCTTCATTCACCCCAGACGCTCACTGCTCAGATCCAAGGGGAGGGTCACAGGCGCTCCATTTACCCCTTCAGCGAGCAAGGGCAGGAGGCCGGGAGCTCTGGGGGAGCAGGGAGGAGCGCTGGGGGCGGGTGGGGGGGCTCCTCCTGCCCACCCCGGAGGTGGACACGGAACAAGAGTGGGTGCCAAGGGCTCAGCTGGCGGTGCGCAGCCCTGGAGACTGGCAGCACTTACCGTGAGATTGGCCACGATGACCTTAGGGTCGTCTGTGGAGAGAGAAGGAGGAACATCTCAAGACACAAGGCCACCGCCATGAAGGGACAGGCATGGAAGTTCTCATGCAGCGAGAGACTCACATCAACCCCGCCCTCTCCCCAAGACTCACGCTGATGGTTCGCTTTAATTGTGCCTGAGGGGACGAGGTGGGGGCTGGGTTCATATCTCAGGAAGTGAGATGCAACAGTGGGGTGCATGGGAGGTGGGGCGGACTTCCCTGCAAGGTCCGAGTCTCCTCCTCCACAAAGGTCTCCAAGGTCTCCACCCTCTTCCCCAGCCCCTGGGCGCTGCTAGGTACATTGCTTCACATTCCCCTAACTGGTTCTTCCGAAACATGGGCTTCACTGCTTTACAACTCAGCATCCAAAATTAAGCTGGGCACTTGGGGCTCTTCCTGTAACTTCCCATTCAGCTGCACCTCTTTCACAGGTCACCATCCACTTTAAGACGAATCTGCCACGTGATATTTACACCCAGTGGAGCACTACTCTGCCCCAAAGAAGGGTAAACCTGAGTCCGGCAGGAAAACAGATGCACCTTGAGGCCGTCCTGCTAAGTGAATCGAATCAGACACGCGAGCTTCAAAAGTGCATGCTTCTTCTTACACGAGAAACCCAAAGCATAAAGAAAGAGCAAAATAAAAGATCAAAAAGAACCAGATCTGCGAACAGAGAAAAGACCATGAGATGGAGCGGGGAAGGAAGGGGATAGAAAAGAGCGACACCCCGTCCCTCCTCACGGGGAGCACGCTCATCACGCACTCCAAACGTCAACTTTAAAAATATACAAACAAAAAATTTAGTGTGTTGAAATACAAAACGGTGAATATACTCCATCTGGGAGTTACGTTTCCAAAGGAACTTTGTTCTCCTGGTTATCTCCTGGTCTAATTACACAGGCTTCGTCCCAGGCCTGGGGCACGCACGGGTCTCCCCGGTTCTCACTACCATCAAACAAAGGTTATTTTAGTCAGTAACTAAGTAAATGGTGGTTGTGGAAGAACAGGATTCTATTATGCGCAGGTCTGCTTGGGGGCCGGGGCCTGTGGGAGAAAGGAGATTGTAGGTTGTTTGGATTCGGTTTTGCTTTCAAAAGCTTGCTCAGCCTGTCATTATAGAATCAGCAGTGCTCAGAGGTCCCAGCCCTTCGGCCCTCCTGAAAAGCGGTCTCTGTCGCTCGGCCTCTGCACAGTGCTCGGGGAAGGGCGCCCTAGGCGGGAAGCATCGCTGAGTATCTGCTCGCAGGTGCAGAGACCACGCACACCTTGCAGTATAAACAACTATGCTCTGCAGCCTCTTTTCAGACTTTGGATTCTGAAGCTGTGAATCCCAGAGCTAAGATGTAAACTGCGCGCCACTTCAGTGGGGCCACATTTCTGTGGCCTCTTTCCACAGAAGGTGGATGATCACAGGGACTGTCATGGCTTGGCTCCAAGCCTCGCTAAGCCGAGGGGCTTTAGAAGGTGGGAGCCACACATGGAATGAGACAGCACAGGTCAAGCCCAGGCCCCCCGAGAGCAAGCCGGGCTTCACACCTCCATGCCTTCTGGCCTCACACACCTCAGTCCTCACAGGGACCCCACATGGTCAGTCTGTGCTCTCTGATAGTGAAGAGATTTAAAACGAGCCTGTCCTCAGCTGGATCCCAAAGAATCACGAAAAGACAACGGATAGCTGGGTCCATGTTCGGGTCCCGCTGGGAAGAGCCCCATCTTCCCATGCTCACTGTCCTCCAGGGCAGTGACAAGAATTGGCGATCTGGGTTCAAATCCCAGCTCTTCACTTATGAATCCTCATTCTCCAAGCCACTCCCTTCATCCCACTCTGCCGTTTGACCTTGGTCATCCACCAAGGGGACTCGGATACACATCACACAGCACTGCGGTGTGTGTTAGGTAAGACCGAGCACACAGTCAGTTGAACCAGTGATGCGAGGAGACACAGTCGCCGTGGCCGACACGTCCACAGCACACGGACTCCAAGTCAAGGTGACACCGATGGAGTCTCTCCTTCGGTTTCCCCTGAACCCCATTTTAGGGATAAGGAGGATGAAACAGGCAGAGGTTAAACAGCTTTGGCCCAGCACACCTGGGAGAGCTGGGGCTGGAACCCAGATGTCTGGGTGCTGTGTGCACCACCCCACTTCTACCGTCTCCCCCAAGATGAAGTCACACACGGGACCAGGGCCGGGGCCTGGGTTCGGTGTTGGAGAATTTGCCCAGCATCAGCACCATGGGGTGGAGGAGAAGGAAAGAGAGGGAAGGGGGAGAAGGACAGGGAGAGGAAAAGAGGAAGCAGAGGAGGGAACAGGAGTAGGACAAGAGGAAGGAGAGAAGAAAGAAATCACACGTGTAGCGCTCTGCAGAGCACCGAACACCGCTACGGGAAGCTGTCATTCCACAGGCTCCCAGCGTCCCTTCCGCAGGACACCTCCCCGGCACGCGTAGGGAGCCAGGAAAACCTTTCCAGGTAGACGAGCTCTCCCGCGTTAGCCCTACCGAGACAGATGCTAGCATCAAAAGGTACCCTAAGGACGCGTCCCAGGCTATGGTGACAGCCACCTTTCTCCAGGGAGCAGAGGAGCCACAGGGGACAGGGAAGCAGGACGGGAGGACAGGAGACGCCGCCGATGTGTTTATTTCACAGCGTTGCCCGCAGCAGCCTGGGCCCCTGCCCACTGCTGTGGACACAGGAATGCAATTCGGGAAAAACTTAACTTTCCAAAAGCTTTAAGCTTCGTGTCAATGGTTTCTTATTCCTAAGGCTAAAACACTTTAAAGAACTGGTTTTTTGCCCAAAATGTAGTATCTCAAATAAAACAATGGTCTTGGCACAACCAAAGTAGGTGGAACCTCGGAAAAACCTTAGCACAAATCAATTCGAGTCAGAGGCGTCTCATAACCTGAACATACAAAACTGAAGCCGAGAGCTTATTCCTGTGTGTTCCTGACCTCCCAGAGCATCCGCCAGGCCCCTCACAATGGCTCCCTCCTGCCTGCCCGTCATTTGGACAAAGAGGAAAAACCCTTCCCCAAAGCTCCTGGGAACCATCAGGTTCCAAATGATTCTGTCGGACCCCGTTTTAGGTGCTTGAGATCCAGGTAGGGGATCCATCTGGATTCGGTGTTAAAATAAAACACTCCTCTTGTAAACACAAGTTTACAGTTATAAACATGCCCCAAATTAAGTGTAATTTCCACATCATAAAAACAAGAGCAAATATTTGCATCCACTACTGTGCCAGAAGGCATGCCAAGCAATACACACGGGTCGAGTCCCACAACGGCCCGTGGGCTGCACTCTCCCGCTATCGCCCTCCTCTTCCAGATGCCAAAACCGAGGCCCGGGGTTCGAATGACTGACTTCACCTCGCTAAGCGGTGTCAGAGCCAAGAGCTTGTTCAATCGTGCGTGTTTGAGACACAGCGCTCACACCCACTGCGGGAGCTGGTGGGTGCGCGGAACCCACCTTCACCATCTTTCCTTCACTCTGTCACTCGGTCCCTGTCCTTTATGAAGGAGCTCTGTCTCCTCTTCCTGCAACCTAGCTTTGATAGAAACCTGCACCATTTAGCTGGTGAGTCTCATTTATGTCAGCCTGCATTCTGGCCTCAAGGTGCATCCATTTTCCTATGAGAGAGTCAAGTGCGTGTGTCTTTATGGCAAAATCTGTGTAAGTCCATGTTCTTTATCCAGTCGTCTGCTGATGGACACGTAGGCCACTTCCAAGGTGTAGCCCTGATGCGTGGTGTCGCCTGAATACAGGAACGCGAAGGCTTTTTCCCAGGTATCCAGCTGCAGAGAACAAGTCCTCACCCGTCCACTGTACTATCCTCTAACCACTCCATACTTTAGGAATCAACTTACATTTAGCATTAGTGTTAGACTTGGGCCGGATTCTCCCCAGGGTCCCGGGCACTAAGGTAATGTCATCCACGTTGGTCAGGTAATTGCTTAGAAACTCAGTTCTCTCACAGGTGACATCTTCCATGCCTGTGGAGGGGGAAACAAGTATTTTCATGTCGCGTTAAAATTAAATCCTTACAACCTTCACACAGACACCAAAGATGACATCCAGGCATCTGCTTCGCTTTCACAACCTAATGAGCGGAACCCTCCTATTTGTGATTCCTTAACTTGACTCGAAATGTTTTTACCACTTCTTTCTAGAACTTTCTAGATTGAGTCTGATTGAGTCTTACCATCTTGCAAGCCCTAGAAGGCTGAAAAATGCATCTGCTGAATTATCATTTTAAACTATTGAGCAAGAATAGCAAAACTAAGGAAATAACCATGTTTTTAAGAAAACAATTCACGGGCATTATGAAAAAATCTGGTCTTTAAAAGAAAGCCCTAGATTGCTTCAAATTCTTCCCCACTAAGGATGGTATAAATAACTGAAATGCATAGCTCATTGTCTTTTACAAAAATCTCACTCCTTCGCTCCCTCCCTCCCTCCTCTCTCCTGTCTCAGTCTGTCTCTCTCCCTCTCTCTTTCTCTCTCTCTCTCTCCCTCTCTCTTTCTCTCTCTGTCTCTCTCCCTGTCTGTCTGTCTCTGTCTTTCTCTGTCTCTCTCTATCTCTCTCTCTCTCTCCATCTCTGTCACTCTCCGTCTCTCTCTGTCTCTCTCTCTCCCTCCCTGTCTCTCTGTCTATCTCTGTCTGTCTCTATCTCTCTCTGTCTCTCTCTGTCTCTCTCTCTCCCTCCCTGTCTCTCTGTCTATCTCTGTCTGTCTCTCTCTATCTCTCTCTGTCTCTCTCTGTCTCTCTCTCTCTCTCTCCTGCCCTCCCTCCCTCTCTCTCCTCTTGCGTGTAATCAGCAGCCCTCCTCTGTCTGCTCTGGTGGCCTTGAATACCCCTGACAAAACAATACTGCCAATGAGAGAGGAGAAAGCAAGATGTCAACTCTAATGACCACCCAAACTGAAAAACAAAATAAGCTGAATGGAGACAAGTCGCAAGCAGTGTAATTAGCCAGAAATGAAAGCTAGCAAGTACAGCCCAGAAAAGGTGGTGGTAGGGAATTTTTTAACCAACTAATGTTCCTCTACCGCCCCAAAATGTTTTTTCTGTTCTCCATCAAGAAAAACTCCTTAATCAATATTTTTAAAAGGAATGAAAACAAAAACCCAAATCTTAGGATTTCAGACTACAGCAACTCATAGAGACCTTCACTGTCATTGGAAAAAGGTTCAGTGTACTGTAATCTTTCATGAACCAGTTTCACTCCCCATGGCCTAGTTACCCATGGTCCACTCGTGGTCCAAAACACTAATGAACATTTCCAGAAACACAGAATTTCTGGTAGACTGATGAAATCTCATGATGTTCTGCTATATCCCTCCCTAGCCCAGCGTATCCGCACCCTATACACCACCCGCCCCTTAGCAGCTGGGAGAGACAAAGGGAGGGACCATGCCCATAAAACCATTATTTAAGTATATTGTCCTGATTATCCTATTGTATTATAGTTGTTGTTTATGTCTCACTGTGCCTAATTTATAAATTAATCTTTACTAGTAGTATGTGTGTATGGGAAGAAAGATAGTGCATATAGGTTTAAGTACTATTCACATCTACTGGAGGGCTTGGAACACACCTCCCCTGGGTAAGGGGAGATGACTGGGCTACTTCACACAGTCTAGTGTACAAACACTCCCGAGAGGGAAAAACAAGTATTCTACAGGGGTGACCTAAGATTTTAGACTGCAGATATATGACCCAGAGCAACCCACATCTGATGAAGTTCAAGTGATCATTGCCTGGAATCCCAGATCCATATCCTCCACCCTCTGGTGGTGGTGGTGGTGGTGGTGGTGGTGGTGGTGGTGGTGGTTGTTTTGTTGTTGCTCTTGTTTGACATAAATTGGAGTGGAGAGAAAAACATATCCCAGTGTAGCACAAGGGTTATTTACGTTATCCTCTAATACTGAAACTCCCAGGAGGAAAAGTTAAACAATGAACAGCTACTGGATTCTAGAATCAGATCAGTCCAGGAAGAGCCTCCAAACACACATGACTAGAAGAGTGAAGGGATCTTCATTCATTTCGGCCTAGGCAGTCACATAAACTACTCCACAGATGAGCCATGTTCCTGATGCTTCCAAGCAACCTGAACATAACCAACTCTGTCCCAAGCTCTTCCCTAAGCCAAACTCATGGTTGTGTGAAGGGTAACAGTGAGTTCCCTCCAGAGAGCAACTTAGTCCTCACAGATTTTTCCCTGTAGTTTCTCAGAGATGTTCTAGAAAGTTCTGGAAAGGAAACTTCAGCCCAGAACAGAAAGAGACTAAGGAAATTCACCAGCCACTCTCAATGGAACTAGCCAAAGAATCAACCAGTTTTCATCTTCCAAACTCTAGTAGAAGGACATAATCCCAAATTCCAAGGTCCTTATCTCCACTGATGGGTCTGGAATGCAATGTCTGAAATAAGAGTACTCTATGACACCCCTCTAAGCTCTGAATCGTACCATGTTTATGATGTTCTTGATCACCTCAAAAAAGGGGCAGGGTCATTACTTTCTCTGCTTTATAAGGTGACTTAGGAAAAACTGCTTCTTCCTGTCTTTTAATATCTTCTGGAGAGCAGAAAGGTCCTCTGATCGCAATCTTAAATTCCCTCAATGAATTCAGGGAAACCACTGATTTATATGTACTTTCTTTATATTTAGAGTTTTTTTAACCACACAAATTCTGTGGGCTCCTTTTGAGGGCCTGAGTCACAGGGAAGAGAGTTTATCGCATGATATGTCACATGCACAGATGAAGGCAATATCACCAGAGCACTATTCACATTTTAATGATAGATCTTTCTAGAAAGTGCTTTCCTGTACTTTAGTAGAAGCTCCTACTTCTGATTAAAATAAATCCAGGTCATCCCAGTTTGTCTCATACTTTTCTACCAGGGCCCAATTTCTTCCCCATCCTGAAGAAAAGGACCAAGAAGTAAAGAACAGAATCTTGGATTCTAAGAGGAAGGACTCCATTCCTCAACACCTACAGAATGCCCTACTCATCTATTTTTTATTAGCAAAGAAAGAACCCAAGCTTTACCATGGTCTCCGACAAAGATGACATTCACACACCGGTGCAGCTTGAGTTGCTTCAATCCATCCATGAGTTGCCCCATGGTTCTGTCAATATCCCTCAGCGGATTTGTCATCTGGAAAAAAGAGCAAGTTAGACCTCACAGGCTTTTGTTTGTTTGTCTCTCTCCTTTTCAGTTTCCACAGAGCTGCTACCCTTAGAACATTCTGGAAAGAAAACTTCAGGCCCAGAGGCAGAGCTTCTACCCTTAGAACATTCTGGAAAGAAAACTTTAGGCCCAGAGGCAGAGCTTCTACCCTTAGAACATTCTGGAAAGAAAACTTCAGGCCCAGAGGCAGAGCTTCTACCCTTAGAACATTCTGGAAAGAAAACTTCAGGCCCAGAGGCAGAACTCTCTAATGGAGAGTTTCCTGCATTTTAAAAGGAAATTTAGTTGCAGTGCTTTATATTCTTTCAGGAGAATTAAAACTGCTCCTTATTCAATCCCTTCATGATTCTTTGGCATAAGAATATCAGAAATGTGACTGAGATCAATTCTTTTTTAGAGAAATGTAAAGACATTCTGTAAATGTCTAAAATGTAAAGACATTCTGTAAATCCCAAGTTTTAAGAGTAAACAGAAAGTCAGATGGATAGTTGAAATCCTTTACCTTCTATGAAAAATCACATTAGGCTTTAGACCAGGGTAAGGAAATAGTGGCCAAGTGAATCATGAGGAATACTGAGGTCAAGGGGAAAGCCCTCCACTGGACAGAAGGTTAGAGCATCATTAACACCTGGGGGCCTATCCCACGTTACCGAGAACGCCAACTTCTTCTGAAAGAGAAAAACTGTTCTAACAAACTCTTTAGCTCCTCAAATTAGTCTTTTCATGGTGATTTGGATGAAATAAGGCTCTGCAAGGGTCCTAACCTACACAAAAGTGAACCACTGAGTTTGTTCTAGAAGATTTCTTATGGACTCTAAGGAAACAAGAAAACTTGGTTCTTCTTCTTTTTTTTTTTTGTAAGACCATCTGCAGAGTCTACACTGCTGTCATTACCGGTAAGCTCCCAATGCAAGTTCCCGACAACACGAATGTTCCCACGTACACACGACAGACCTGCTTTCTCCGTCTCACCACTAGCTGCCATGGGAAGATTTTAAGAAACTTCACACAGGACCAACACTTGACAGCACTTAGAGGAATTTCACTTCTTAGCTGACAGCCACACAGACAGGCCCATGATAACAAGCAACATAAGAGATCTGAGGATCATTTTGGCTCGGGTAGTAACCGTGTCTCCGTCAGCATCTCCTCGGATGATTCAAGACCTGGCCTCCCATTATTTCCCCAGTGCTATCAGCACTATTTCATATCCTACCCAAGGAATCAGCCACAGCACAAAGCTTTGAAATGAGGTGTGCAGAGTCATCTGCTGGGACTGGCAGGCGTGGAGTACACGGCATTCGTGTCTAAGAAAACCATCCTGTCCGCCAATATCTTTGTCTAGACAGACAGAGGCCAAATGCACAACACATGTGAGCTCTTGGCAGTGAGCTAGTTCCTTTCCTGAGCAGGACGACTCGGGTAGAATCCATGGCCTACTTCCTAGGGACCAGCTCAGACGGTCGTAAAAAAGATGCTGCCTTGGAAGCCACTGAAGGTTTTGTAACAAGCAGCAGCCAGAGACGCCCCTGCAGGTACCAGAAAGAGCAATCATCGTGGTCACTGGGAGGGAACACGCGTGACTCTTATCTACCCACAACCTCCGCTATTCCCTAGTCTCTGTTCTAATATTTCTTCTGACCTCTTAAAGTTCAGACCACTCGTCTAAGTCAACCTTCCAACGAGTTCTAACCTGCACCTCTCCTGCCTTCAGGATTCTTCCCAAGATCCAGGAAACCACCGCGTCTGAATCTGTATGTTCATGGCAAGCAAAACCCACAGCCCTTTTCACGGTCAGTCATTCCAACCCAGAGGTCAACATGAGAGCAGGGACAAATGACCCCACAGAAAGTGAAAAGGTCCTTTCTGCCATCGCACTGGCAGCTCAGGAAGCCTTCAGATCGCTGTTAGCCTGATTCGTCTGGCCCTGAAGCCAAGAATGACACAGCAGAGCCTTTCTGAAATATGTCCAGATGATTTTCAAACCAGGGCACCGAAGGAAACCTTGGCCTCAGACCTGCCCGCCACCAACCTTTGGAACAACAGATGGACTTACTTTGTCCTGACGAGTTTCCGCCGCATACTGATCCATCCTATGTAATTTCCTTCTTCGTTTCTTTGGAGGAGCAACTGGTCTTTCCTGTCTCCTCTTAGGGGCAACTTTCCTCTTAGGTCTCTTAGCCGGAGTAAGAGGCGAGGCATAACTACTCTCCTGTACTGGCGGACAGAGATGTCTCCACTCAGAAGTGGTTTGTCCCTCTGGGGAAGATGAGAAAGCTCACCCTCGCCTGCCTTGGTCACAGGGTTTCAGTTAGCAACGCTAAGTCTCCATCAGTGCTTCCGAAGGGGTGACTCAGGACCTCTACAGAAACTACAGCCTGAACAAGGGCAGGCTTGAAGGGACCCAGCTGGGTGGGTTTCTTTTGCTGAGGGGCCCACTGAGGCGTCCCCCAGGTGACATCAGGGAAGCTCTGCTTTCCATAGCTGCTCGTTAGGGATAGGCTGTCTTGTTTATGAAAAGCTCTCCATGTGTAAAACAGGAGCTTACAGCCAAACAGAATAAGGTCAGTCCATCAGTTCAGCAATAAGGGTGACATAGCGGGTCCCAGCTGAGAATCGGGGAGATCTGGTCACACCACAGAATAAGTCAGATCACTGTCATCATCCTTGGCCAGAAGCAAGGGAAAAATGTTTAAACTAAAGAAGGAACATAATGTAAATAATAAAAAATCCTCCCTACTCCTGAAGGTGCATTCACAAATCAACACTTCCCATAGAGGAAGAATTCTTTTTACCTGACAACTGAAATTTCTGGGATGGTGGAACTCTAACATAAATGGTACTGTACTTTTAAAAACTGTCCTTGGGAACTAGGTAAAATGTGAACAGTCATCAAGACCACCCTGTCTTCGTGCACAGAGGCAGACACCCTTGCTGTCAGAAGCTGCTGTGGGGGTGAAACGACACAGTTACATGTTCTGTCTAGACCCAAAGGACAGTAAAGTCTGATGCTTCCTCTAACAGAAGAAGGTGACGTTTTGCTATTTGCAAACGTTGGAGAAAATCTGGCCCCTGATTTGCTGATGGTGCAAAGGTGAATTTAAGCAGCAAGCCCTGCAGGTACCTAGCTAACTTCTCTCTGGGTGGCAGGATGGTCCCGGAGCCATTCGGATGCAAGAAGGGGCAGGAGGGGGACGATGTTAGTGAACCAAGAGGAAGAACGGCCTGCCATGCGGTTCCCTATTACCAGGGCAAGCGACTGTCTCATCCTGACTCTCCAGCACAGCCATCCAAAAACACAGCCCCGTGGGAAGGTTTGGGTTGGTCTGAACTCTTCTAGTTTTAGGCACATCTCCACAAGAAGAGCAAGAAAAGGAAAAGAGGTTTTTCCATTTCATGATCACCAAATACATTCTGCTAGCGTCAAATCTGCCCGTCAAACAGTAGGCCATTTGCAAGAGACTTCAACATTCCAAGACTTTCCAGGCGGGCCTTCCGAGGGAGGCAGGTTAGATGCGCAGAGGGAGAGACAGGGTTTAGCCAAACCGCGTTTTCATCCAGTAGTTACAGTGCATTTGTTTCTCTCTTTAGATGTTAGAGGTAGATGAAAGCTAAGTTCTCACTAACCAGCCAGACCATAGCCTCAGTTGAGAAGTTCCAGCCTGAGGTTATTAAGGGGACGGTAGGTAGAGGGACACATTTTCCTACGTTTCAGAAGGATATTTTGCCATCTGAAGGTAGGGACTAAGCCAGCCAAAGCTCTGCCTCGAGGCCTTGAAGAGCAGCAGAACAAAAGGTCGCAGAGAAAGCATAGGAGGTCAAACACGGAAAGATCGTGCCAATAACCAAAAGCAAGCATATTTCCGAACATTCACCATTACACTGTGAAACCAGGAGCGATACACCATTTCTTGAGCTATTAGCCCAATATTTGACTATCTCACTTAATAGCTTCTTGGTATATAGCACTTTGCTAGTGGAATCATTTTGATTCAACTTCAAAGCCAAGTTACTTTCTTCTATGTAAAAGACAACATGTGACTGATTTTTTAAATAATGATTTGCCTGGTATTCATCATTTTCTCATTCAAAAAATAAGGATATGATATACATAGAAATAGGTATGCACGTACATGTATATAGGATACCACATACGGGTATGTAAGCCAGCTGGTCCATTAACACAAGAGAGGTTTTGTTGTTGCTCGGGGTTCGTGTTTTAAAAGTTGTAAAATGTACTTTATTTTATTTATGTTTTTTTTTTTTGGTTAAATAAGATGCCTAGAACCAGGTGAGAAATAGCAGAAATCCCAAAATATTCCTTCCTTTATGAGGAGGATGTGATCAGATTATCAGAGATTACCATTCCTGAGATATGCTACAGGATTTATCCAAGGAGATAAATAAGCAAGTCCCAGATGCAAATCCCAGTACTACAGAAGTGTTAGTACTAAAAAGTACTAACACTGTATAACACGAATAGGCCAACTTAGCTCAGTTGTGCTATAGGATCAAAACATGCTGGTGTATTTATGAGACACACGAGCCATCGTTATGAAAATGAAACCATTCTGTATCACACTTCATTGCTCAGTACTTTGAGGGGGGAAAACTTGTTTCTTAATTAAAACAGATGCACTTATGTTTTATAAATGCAAAGATATTTGTGGGTAAAGAACATTTACTGGTAAGTCATATACCCTAATGTATGAGTCATGCCTTATCTATACTGTTAAAAGTCAAATTTTGCCATAAAGACAGTGTTTGTGTGATATGAACTCAGGTACTTATGGGCCACCTCGATGGTCCCCTGAACTGAAAGAGGAGTTTACAATTCCATAGGGGTCCTCCAATCTGACCTGCAAGTTCTACTTACCATCCAGGAAGCCTGGGCAGCTCCAACCTCTCCAAGTACCAGGCTCTGCTTTTTAAAGAACAGCTACACCAATACCTATCCCGCTCTGCCTGTTCCTGGGAATTTTTAAGGGCTCTTGTTCCAGCAAAGTTGAACTTTGCAATAGAGCACATGAACTGCTCAGGGTTAACATTTTAATAAAACGTGGATCCTTTTACTCACTTTAGATTGATCTCCAAGAAAGTCCTCCTAAAGATAAAGCAATTATTCTTGCTTTGCTTTTCTTTCCTGGCAAAGTAAGGTTTGTGTTTCATGTATGCAGATGTTTATCTCATTTTATCATTTGTGCTTCATAGTCATGCAACACTGGTTAAACATCAAAGGGAGATTTTTAAAAAGACCGTCAGATTTATACGACTTCCGTGACTTAAGACCAAGAATGGTTCTTCACAGCCGTTGTTTCTAACGTTTAAAAAGAAACCTCTTAATTAACGTTAAAGCATCAGAAATACTGATGAAGCCTTGATCGCTGATTTCTGTGTTTAAACATGCTGTAATTTCTTCAAAAATAGTTTAACCAAGATATATTTGTCTACATATCCAAATCACTGAATTTAACAGAAGGCAACAGTGACATCATAGGTTATTAGAGCATTAGAAGCACTTTCTGTCAACAGATTTCTTAAAATAATTTCTCAGCTGACATTAGGATAGCCACAGATGGATATCAACAACTCATCATCTTGATTTTTTTAAAAAAGATGAAAAATATTTACGGTATTAAAAAGCTACGATTTGTAGATTTCACCATATTTTAAATGATCTATGTTTAGATGTTTCCATCCTAGACGAGGAACATAGCAAAATACAGTGGTGCCTCACCCATGAACGCTTTTGTTTGCAGACAGTTTGGTTCACACACAGAAGTGCTGCACACAATTTGCTTTTTGTATGAAAACTCTGCGTTGTATGGCAAACATGGCCACAGCCACCCTTCCTGCACAAATGTAAACATGGCACCGTTTCCGAAATCATAAAGTTGGTGAGCCGAGGTACCACTCACTGCACAACACTCCTCTCCCATCTCCCGGATGCTCCCTTAAAAACCCACCGTCTTCTCCGAGGTGGCTAAGTGTTGGCTGAAAGGGTGTCGCACAAGTCTTCTACTCAGATCCGTTCATGTCACCCTCAGAGAGGGACAGCTATGTCCATCCTCTTTAGTACGGTGATGGTTTCACATTACAAATGCCAGTGTCAAAATCTACCAAATAAAGAAGTGCCCAGTACGCTTAACATACACCAGCAAGGCTGCACCCACTAAGGCTACGGGGTTCGCTCAGCTGACCTATTCTCTCCGAATGGCATAACCACTTTAAGGGCGCTGGAATGCAGCTGTCATGTTTTGTTTCAGGCTTCATCTCAGGCTTCTTTTCCACTTGCCAACCCTTCCCGATCTTTCTCCGCCTTGAAACCTGCATGGCTGGAATTCACCCTGTTTCCCATTAACCTCAAGTTGAGGATATGTTTCAATATCAAAGCAATCTGAAACGCAAGTTCCTGGAACAGAAACCCGTATGTTTTAAGATGTTATTAAATGTTTTCAGTCTTGTTATTGACTCTGTATAGACAAGAAGACTCACAAAGACTGCACAAATCCTAAAACCAGGTCAGTGCATCGAGCAGCCCGGGGCAGAGGCTCCGTTCAGGCAGGTGAAAAACTACTAACCTCAGGGCCGAAGGGGCCGTACTTGTGTCCAGAGAAATCAGGTTGTTCAGAATAGAAGGCATAGACGGATGGTCTGAGGGGAAATAAGAAGATTCAGAATCTGCCTCAAAACACACAGAAAAACACCCCTACACACACACACACACACACACACACACACACACACACAATCCATGGGAAACTTTTCCTACTTTTCCCACACCCTCTAGACCACTAGCTGGTAACACTTTGAGAGATCAAAAGTCACAAAGGAAAATGCAAAGGCACCCCTGGTCTCTGATTCCTGGTCCCCGCAGGCCTTCCCATCTGCAGCCTGCAGGGTCCAACCCTCCCTGGGGTGAAGTCAGTCTTCACACCCCTCCGCCCTTCAGGTGCTCATGGTTCCACATCAAGGCCAGAAACACCCTCCCGCTCTTGGTCATTCGTGGCAGGACTGAGCCTTAGTACCCCACGTGACCCGGTCCTTCTCAGGGAAATATCGTTCTCAGAGCCCCGGACCTTTTCACACCACAAACCGTTGGCTTCCATGTCACCCTCCGGTTAGCGTTGCACCCATGCAAGCCTAAGCTGGAGAAGCACAGAAGAAAGACCAGAGGCCCAGGAGCGCCTACCTCTCGTGGTCTGGCAGGGAGAGCCACTGCAGGATGGTGAGGATCCTCCGCTCATGTGGGATGGAGCTGTTAGGGACAAACCAGCCACGTATCTCGTTAGTATGCGCTGCGACGCACACACCAGCACCCGGGCCCAACATGCCCCCCGTGTTGGGTGCCCCAACCTCCCACCACCTGTTTGGACTTTGGGACAGTAAAAGGCCCTCTGGAGTTGCGTCTAAACACATCTCATCGCTCAGCCCTTTCCACAGAGCACAAGGCTGGAAACTCTTATTCAAGGGTCAAATGAAGAACTCGTCTCGGCATCTGCTCCCACGAAGTGCTTAACAAAAATGCTCGATTTATTAACGATGCAAATGAGGCAGCACGGTGCTGCTCAATAGCCATAGAAATGTGCACCCAAAATTTGAAGTTCCTCCTCTATAAAATAACGGGTTAGGTAAGGAAGCTTGGAATGATCTTTCCAACTCTATAAAAATCTATCAAGGAGAGGCACATGTAATTATAAGACTGACCAAGATTATACAACCTTCACCCACAATGGCTTTGTGTGTAAGCCTCATTCCTCTGTTGAAACATAATTACCCTAAGTCTGGCATGAGCTTCAAGAGCTCCCGGCTGACCCAACAGTGCTGGACCTGGGCTGGGTCACCTCGGGGTGCTTGGCAGCTGAGCAAGTACCTTGACTTGTAGAGAAATCTGTTTACTTGCTCTTGACAAGGAGCACAAAACACTTTTCTGCTCCTGCATTCACAGCCAGGCACTAGAGCACGTTCATGGAGAATTCAAGCTAAAACCCAGTTTGATCGTAGTAAGCAAGGACCGTGCGGGTGAGCTGATGAAACCTTCACTTTCAGGGAGCAGGGGCAAGAGAGGTCCGGGAAAACCAGGCCCTGGAGCCTTCTGGACGGCTGGCAGCCGATACAGGCAGAGGGATCATTCGAAACTAGAAAACCATGTTTACTGTTTACCAAAAGCTGAGCCCTGATGTGAACATATTCCAGTGCTATTGAGTAAATGCAACCCTGTTTATTATATCCTATAATCGAATTAGAAACAGGCATAGCAAAGCCAAGCTAATCGCTTGAGGAATTTAATTCTCCAGCCTTAGAAATCCCTTGTATCTGAACAAAATAATTACAATTGCATACTCTGAATTCTTTCCTAACTTAAAAGAAAGCCAGTGTCAGAACCTTTCCATTGTGCCCCGCTCCACCGCCTACCCAAAAGCTGCTTTATTTTATGTGATTGGTGTTAAGCCACAAGTGTGGACTCCGCTGAACCCACTTCTGAGGCTTGTGGAAAAATGCAGGCTGGCAGAATTTGCGTGGAGTTCAGAATGTTCCCCAGTTAGTACCCTTGCTCGATGGGGTACTTCAACCATAATAGAAAAGAAATTAAAAATACCAGCTCAGCGGCCCGAGTACGTGGGTTTGGATCTTGGCTTCTAAAAGCATTGGCGATGAGATTTTGGCAACTGAGCTAATTTACCAGTGACTCCGTCAAAGAAGGACAAGAGCAGCTCCTCATAAGAGCGTTGTAAGGATCAAAAGCAATCATCATGTGAAGTGCTTAAAATACTGCCTCGCACATAAAAAAGGCTCATAAAATATTGGATTTTACCACTGTGTACTGGATTTGCAGATCCCCCGAGATGACATTTATTCATGGGCAGAGTGGGCAAGGTGGTCCCTAAATTTCCTAAATTCTCTTCATGAAATAACCTCATTCACCAAGGAGCTGCGTCCCTTAGCCACTGGGGTTTCAAATGCAGTGCAGAGACAGCACAAATAAACTCGTCCCAGGAAGGCAAAGACCCAAGCAGGAGAGGATGCATGTCACTCTCTTTGCTCTGTGATTGAGGCAGAATTTGTTTTAAGACCAACTCAGGTTCTGAAAAAGGGAAAAAATTGACAATGAAGGACCAGATATGGTCCTCGGTGGTCAAGGGGGACATATTACTTCGGGGTACAGACAGAGGCCCATTGTCCAGTCAAAGCTAAAAGAGAACGTGGCTAAGGAAGAATTCCATGTACCGGCTGTTCTCTAAAAAGCACCTTAAATGCATTAACTTATTCTATTCTATCTTCCTAACACTGGATGATGCTGGGATTCTCATTCTAAGATCCATTTACTGGGAGACTAAATTGCTCGACAAAGGTCAGCAGCTCCTAAACAGCAGGCTTGGGGTGAGGCTGCTTTGAGTTATTTGCACAGAGCAAGAATGACTGCACTGACCTAAAAATATAACGGGCCATCAGCAAAGGGTGACTTTGGAATGAAACACGGTCATTAAGAAATAAAGCAAGACTAGAATTCTGTGCTGCCCTTCAGAGCCGTGTGAAAGACAGCTTCCGACTCGAGGTCTGAATTCAGCTTGAAATACCGACGCTTCAGACAGTGCCGGTGAGGACCTATTTGACACATGGTCCCTTCAGTGACAGGGAGAATGATCCTATTTTTCAAGCCATAAGACATTTTTTTTAAAAAGGGGGAAAAACTCCAAATGTAAGTCACTTCCAGGACACGGCAATAAAAGAATAGTCCGAGCAGCACAGCAAAATGGGCACACAAAAGCCACCTTCTTACAAGTGGTTTCACATGGGTGGAGAAAATTGTCATTCAGAGCCAGAACACTGGCCCTTTTCAGGGCAGCTGTGTAGCGGTGTCAGGGGCAGGGTGGGGACACAGGATTAATTATGTTGCTGGCTTCTCTCCATCCTGCCCGGTGAATGTGCTGCAGAGAGAAAGGAATCACTTCTCTAAGCATCTCTGACAGTCAAGGGTTTACAGAGAGGTAAGGCCCGAGATTAAATCGCTGCCACCTACATCACACAGTGCCATTTCTAAGGCCCACATGGATTTCTCAACTCAAGAAACTTCTTTTTAAGAAAAAACGGGGTGGGGTGTTAAAGAGACTCTGTCTCAGTTCAGATGGCTCGACCCAATTTCAGCATGCCCTTCAGAAAAAGCAGCTTTTATTTCCCAAATCTGGAGCCTATAGACAGCGCCTTTTTGGATGACTCTGAACCGGTGGCTGCTCTCGGCACATTGCTATTATAGAATAATCAGATTTTTGTTAGGTCGTTAGAGGCAAATACAGAAACAGCTTAGGTGGTTTGGGGGGCAGAATGGAAAGAACATCTCAGTGGGAACAAAATCCCCGTGAAGGTTGAAACAGATCCTTCTCTTACTAAGGAGCCTTAAAAATAATCAACATGTTGACAATTTTATTAGGTACATTTCATCTCAATAAACATTAGACAAACCCCGCTCCCATGCCCCTCCGCAGGGCCGACCAGTAGCCCCATTTTCCTGTAAGGGAAAGGCTGAGTGGGATGGTAAAATGGGGGTGAAAACAGAGGGCTCCCCGGTCTCCCCTCTGGAATTGTAGTCTCTAGACTATTCACCCAGCTGCCTGAGACCACACTGAATTTTTTGACGACTGGGAACCAAAAGAAATATAGCATGTTAGAGAAAATGAGAAAAGGCAAACCAGAGCAATCAATGAGAGGAATACACACTCCTAAGTTGGCAAGTTATCAAATAGCTATAAAGAGGGACAGGAAGACCTCAAGGATAGCTAGAAAACAAGGGGAAAGGACAGAGAGAAACAGGGCCAGGGAGGGAAGCAGGGCCAGGAGCAGAGAAAGGACAGCCGCAGATCGAAATCTCTGCTGACCCGATGGTTCATACACGTCACCACGCACAGTCACAACGTTATAAGCATGGATGAAATAAAGGTACTTACATCGACCAAAAGAAGGTTCCAGCTCTCACCCCTTGCTTGGCGGCTGTAATCCACAGCTAGTGAGGAAAATACAAGAGGCTTGTAATACGTTCTGTGTTTTGGTCAAAGAAGATGTTTTAAAACATATTAGATCTGCTCTCTTATCCTCCGCTCACACCCTGCTGTAAATCTGACATCATTTGCAAGCCCCTTCTCCACATCTGGAGGTCAGAAGGGCTGTTTCCATGAATGTCATTCAATCTGTTCTCTGCAACAGCTCTCAGAAGCTCTGCTGTGACCCAGTGACATTTCTTTTAGAACCCTTATTTCATCTCAGAAGTCTCCCTCTCTTCTGTACCTGTCTTCTTGAACATTTCACTCATAGGGCAGAATCCTGCTCACCAAAGCGGCCAGGAGGAGACCAGATGTTTCCCCGATTATGGAAAGCCTGCAGGGGCCCCCAATCTGGCACCCAGACCCCCAGATGTGAGAGCCAAGCTGGTCTTGTTTGACGTTAACCCGCATGAAGAAGAAGCTGACAACGGTGAAGCACGGCTACTTTTTAATTGAGACTTTTTCCCTACATCTTTTATCTAGCTTTTCTGGGGGAGGATATTGGGGATCGAACTCACAACATCACGCTCGCCAGAAAGCTCAATCCCCAGCCCTTATCTAGCCTTTTAGGGAATAGGGCTTCAGGGGAAAGTTCCTGGGATAAGTCTGGTGAGCTAAGCACTTCATTAAGTCTTTTAAAATAATCTTTACACCTCACACCGTGGAGGGGCAGAAGACACAAGGATTCAGACCAGGCTCTACAACCAGCCAGCCCAGAGTGTACAGCTTGTTTGGGTCCCTAACCCACCAGGCAGTCTGTACTGAGCTACTCAGCCTAGCTCTGCTCACATCCATTGCAATGCAGATAACATTTTCTGTATGCTTTAATGAAGTTCGTACGCACAGAGTCCTTAAAGCAGTGCCTTGGTGTTTGGCAAACATGCCATCCACCTCAGCCTTCACTGTGATGCAATAATGGAAATAAATGAACCCCAGTTATTCCAGGAACATTGGAAACAGCTCAGGATGGCCAGGGTCCCGCAGAACAGAAGTCTGTAATAGGAAACCTCTCACTTAAAGGAAAAGAGGGGAGACAGTCAGATTGTTAACAGGGGACCAAGGAAAAACTGACCTAGGAACGGCAGCCAGTTCCTGCCCAGCTTCACTGGAACTCCCTGTGACTCCGGGAAAACCCTGATTTGTGGTGAGAAGGCACAGCCGGGAGGAGGTGTACGGTGTCCAGGAGCAGGGTCCTCGTTTCAAAAACTATGCAATATCAGACTCTGGAAGGTTTTTTTAAAAAGATCCCAGGTCCCCAGAATATCTAGAAATATTCACCCTCCAAATTACAGCGACTTCCGCTGGCACGTGAGGTGTGGATAGGAGAGCATGGCGCAGGTCCTCAGAACCCGGGGGCTTTGAGCCACCGCTCCACCTCATCCACAAGGAAGGGCAGGGGTCTTGGCCACAGCCCCGTGGCTTCTGCTCGGCCAGGTTCTCTGAGACGAGGGAGAGACAGGAACTGCGGATTCTCTGCCTGACTCCCTCACGGTGGTCCAGGACACCTTTCCACTCTACGGAGGAAGGCTGGCAGGACCCAAGAGGGCTCAGACGTGTGGGAACATAAACTAGGGCAACCACTCTGGAAACCCGCATGGAGATTCCTGAGACTAGACATTGCATTCGACTCAGCTATTCCCCTTCAAGGACCCTTCCCAAAAAAGTCAGAGATACCACAGAACACAACGCACAATAGCTAAGTCTTCGGAGCAGCTTATTTGTCCATCAACAAAAAGGGATAAAGAAGATGTGGTACTTACACACAGCGAGTACTGCTCTGCGGAAAATGGGTGAAACTGAGACCATAGTGTTAGGTCAAACAAATCAGACACGCAAGCTTAAATATTGCAGGCTTCTCTTAAATGAGAACCCCAAACTATGAAACACAAGAGCAAAAGCAAAGCTAGATACCAGGAAACAGGGAGATAGATCTTTGGAAAAGGGAGAGACCAAGAGGTGGAGGAGGACAGGAGAGAAGGTTGTAAAAAGAACCAAGATGCATTATGTGCGCGGACCAGCTTTCCACAGGAGTGCGATCATTGTGTGCTGCAAATGAGGACCAGTAAAAATAATTTTTTGCTCATCTTTGGCCCCCACATCTCCATCAGCACGATGAGCTCCAGCTGAGAGCCCAAAGCCCAGCCGATCACCAGGGAAATAGGGTCTTACATTATGGCACGGAGCTTTGCACTTACTTTAATTTCTTGGCGCGAGCTTAGTGGATTCACCCTCAAAAAACTTTCCCAGAAATCTAGTGCCTTGTGGTTTCCAAGGAAACTATCCCAGCAAATGGTTGAGATTTATGAAATAGAAGCTCAGTCTGGGGTTTTCCAAAGAAAAAACCTTTCAGTACAAATGTGTCAAACGATGACCCTACACTTTTCAAAATTATGTTGTAGCACACCTGCTGATGCTGGGGTGGTCTCCAGGAACAACTTTCAGTTCAGGTTCCCTCAGGAAAGGAAGGCCACCAGAGGGGTCTTTGCAGCCTCCAAAGGACGCACACAAATGACAAAGTGAGTGTATCAAAGTGACCCTGATGGTCTGCACCGGGCAGGACCACCATGCCCAGGAAGTAGAGGGAAGACAGGACCTGGAGTGGGCTGAGAAGGTGCTTAGTGACCAAGCCTGGTGCCAGGTCCATCCCCACCTGCCACACTTCTGTGACGCTCCTCGAGTCCCCGGAAAGCTCCGAGCTCCCAGGCCACTGAGTGTGCCCGACAGAGCCTGAAACATGGTGTGCCTGCACGTACAGCATTCTGGTGACAAAACTGAGATTTGTTCTTCCCACTTTCCTGCACCTCAAAAAAATTCTGCTGTGATAACATAATTATAATCAGAAGACACTAAAATGCAAATTATGAAGACAACATACAGATCAAAAGTATCTTTCTATAGAAAAAAGAAGCAGAAAGATTCCCCTACCTCTTTAAAAATATCATGTCACCTATGTTTTCTAAAAGATAATTGGGAGCACAGTCAAAAAAGAACAAAAGGTGAGCAAGTAACAGAGACTACTTGAAATTAAACAGATATTTAAAGTATCAGTTTCTGTGCAATAGAGTACTACTCTGCCGTAAAGAAGAGTAAGTTTGAGTTACTTGTAGGAAAGCATGTGCTCCTGGAGACCAACATGTTAGTGAAATAAATCAGGAGAGGTCCCAGAGAAGGAGAAAGGGCAGGTGAGCAGGGAGGTGGAATTTACGGAAAAAAGTGAATCCAGGCACCGACTCCCCCCGATCCGGTCCTGGCGCACGCAGTGCAGATGCGGACTGAGGAGAATGATTCTTTTCTAAGCCTTGAACTTGACCGTCCTAGCACCGATGAAGCACAGGGTTAGTAAACGGTGCAGGACTGGAACACAGGAAACTCTTCATCGGCATCACAGGCAGTGACAAAAGTCCCTTTGCAGGTCACGGTGCACCCTGGGCTTCCGGGCTGGGAATGAGAGAGCCACTCCCGAGGGAGGGAGCACCCGCAGGCGGGTCTAACAGAGCAAGGCTGGTAACAGCCCTGGGACTGTAGAGGAGGGAGACACAGAGGCAGAGAGACAGACAGACAGAGAGACAGAGAGACCTTAGAGAAGCGGGAGGGCTGGCCTCTGGATTTAAAATATAAATTTCATCAGAGGTTGTTTGAAAACGGGAGGGCTGGCCTCTGGATTTAAAATATAAATTTCATCAGAGGTTGTTTGAAAACACACAGCTAAGAAGAAAAAACAACAGAGAAGGAACCAAGGAAGAAAGGAGAGGACGCACTGTCACACTGCCACACTCACTATCACCACAGTGTCTTCAGCATCCCTCGAGGGATTCCCTCCGTCCTCCAGGCCACAGAGCCGGGACAGCTGGACTCCTGAGAGGCCGAGGGGTGGAGGGGATTGCTCCTGAGACCAGGAGGTGAGGGCTGGGCTGGAGCAGCGTGGACTGCGGCCCCAGAGGCCAGGGCCAGGAGGGCGGGGAGTGACACGGGGACACGAGGCCATGCTACTCCCACATGAAGAAGACGGAGTCTGAGACCTGAGATTTACCGAGCCCCGAGGACCCGCAGACAAGGGCGCCCCCAAAGCAAGGGCAGAGCAGGGCAGAGCCCAGCACACAGCGGGGAGCACCTAAAGGTGCCAGGCTCAGTTCAAGCTTCGCAGTGGAGAGATGGCAAACGATCCCTCTCCCCACGAGAACTGCGGTCCGAGGCATGGGGTCACGTGCGTGATGGAAAACGTCAGAAAACCCCAAAGGAGGGCACCCGCTGAGCCGGGCAGGGGGGCACGGGAGGACCGGGCGGAGGCAGAGCCTCCAAGGGACGCGAAAGGAAGAAAGGGCCCAACTCTGGCACCCAAGACGCAGCCGGGGAGGAAGGAGGGGCCGGGCCCAGCTCCGCAGTGACCCAGCAGGGTGCAGCAGGCACAGGCCTGGCTCAGTGCCAGCAAGAAAGCAAGCAGACACCTTGCAAAGAAAAATCATCACTGCTTGGGGCAGAGATGGAGAAGGAAGGCAGGATGGAGAAGAGCAGGGCGCTCCTGCCCAGCAAGGGGAGCTTGCGCCTCCCAGGATGGCAGACGAGACAGCAGCTTCCCCGCCCCCCATTCCCACATCACAGTGAATCCGGAGACTGCCACCAGCGCGGGTGGGCGCAAAGGAAGGCCAGGCCGGGGCAACCAGCAGCAATGGGACGTCTGCCGCTCTCACGATGATGGGGCTCGGGCCCCCCATTCTCCACCGGACTGCACAGGGCACACCCCGAGACAGCGCGAGCGGGGAGCGCGAGGGAGGAGCCAGCCACCCCAGGTCCCACCCAAGAGGACAGCCCGGGGACCCTGCCCGAGACAGCGCCCAGAAACACAGGGTCTCTCGGCAGCGCCGGCTTCCAGCCGCGCTCTGGAGGCGGGGAAATGAAAGCGAGAGCTTACACTTGACTTTTGCCTTTTTTAAAAAAAAATATGAAATTTAGGGATAGAAATTATGTTTGGAAGCCTAATGGGGAGAACAGCCTTCCAGCTGAACGCTGTGCCCACAGCCCATCGCTAAGTCTCACTGAAGACAAGAAGGGCTCTAACACAGCGCACCTGGCTCCCGTGTCAGCCAAGCACCTGTTCCCGCGTCGGGAAAAATCACTTGAGTTTACCTAGCAGACTAAGGTTTTTACAAGTCTTTTCTGTTCTCCAGTTATTTTTTCCACGGGTGCCTCTGTGACATGTGCTGGCCCTGGGAAGGATGATACCAACGAAACCCAGGAATATTCCTCACTCCTTTCTTTGAGAACGAAGAGCTTTCGACACACACTTACACTTCGGCAACACTTTCCGAGAGCAGCTGTCCAAAGGCTCTTCCAGTAAAATGCAGTTTTTTTTAAAAAATAATCGCTACCATGGTCTTTTATTTTATGTGCCAGTAATACAATCACTGTGGAAATTATCTTGGAGAGTCCTCAAAAAACTAAAACGAGAAACTCCATTTGACACAGCTGTCTCTCTTCTAGGCAGATGCTTGAAAGATTAAAGACATCATGTTCCACCACAGAGACATACCCATGTTTATAGCAGAACAATGCACAATAGCTAAATCCCAGAAGCAGCCTGTAAGACCGATGACAGAGGAATGGATAAAGAAAGTGTAGTATTTACACACACACACACACACACACACACACACACACACACACACAGAGCGGAGTACTACTCTGCCATAAAGAAGGACGCATTTGAGTCACTGGTAGGAGAATGGGCACATCTGAAAACCACTGTGTGACATGAAATAAATCAAACCCGCAACTTAAATATCACTGTTTCTCTTACACGAGAAACCAAAAGTATAAAAAAAGAGCAAAATGAAAGGTAATCATGGAAAACAAAGAGATCGATCGTTCATAAAAGGGATTAGGACTAAGAGATGGAAGAGAGGGAGGAAGGGGAGGGATAAAAGAGAATTAGGGTGCGTTCTGTCCGGGGACCCACTCCCCACAATGATGGCAACCGCTGGGAACAGCAAACACTACCACCACCACCCCGAAATGCCTAGGTCCAAGCCCTAACCCTAACCCTAACCCCCCGGAAACCCTAAAAGCCACCGCGAGGTGACCAATGAGGTAAAAAGACTACATTTAGGTCCTTTGGGCTCCTCGGAAGGCCGATTCTGTGATAGCAGCTCTCACCTCTACCATCCTAAATGCTCCTGACACCCCCTCCGGGGAGCCGCTATAGGGACAGGCGCCCCTGCGTCACAGGCTGGGTCACCGCAGATTAACGACGTACACTGTAGACTACATGAACAGCTGTCGCAGAAGGATGAAAATCAACTCCACGGACCTACGAGTCCTTCAGTGCTGACTTCTAAAGAGCGAAAGCCCACACCACCCAGCAGAGTGGGGTACTTGGTAAGTGACGCACTTGGGTCACACGTGACCATTTTGCTCTAAGGCACTGTTTTAGAAAATGACTCCTTGAGGTGAGTTGCAGCCTGCATTCCAGATTCAGGGTCACCCAGGAGGTGGGCCCACAGGGCGAGCACAGAGCCACACACAGCCCTGGCCCAGGCAGCCTGGTGCTCCTGGGAGCCACTGTGGGCATGGGTGGCTGGCCATGGGGCTGTCTCCGCCTTCTCCACCCAGCCCTGGAGGCCATGCCCTGGGCCTGGCCCTGCGGCACTCTGGGCCTCCAGCCACCTTGGCTGACAGCAATGGCTGCTGCTCGGCTCTGTGTGACCCAAGCAAGGCTCTGCGCCATGCACGGTCACAGGAGGCCAGTGGTCACAGCCCTTTCCACAACCCGCTCAGACATTTGGGGGGATTCCTCTCTTACTATGGATTGCTGTTCTCAGAATCGCTGAGTATTTTAACCTCTGTGACTGACACAAGCCAGGCATGGTGGCAATGCCTGTCATCCAGGGCTTGCTCAGGAGGCTGAGGCAGGAGGGCAGCCCTGAGTTCAAGGTCAGCCTAAACGACATAGCAAGGCCCTGTCTCAAAAAAAAAAAAAAAAAAGCATAAGAAAAGGATGAAATAAAATTAAAGAATTTGCAAATCTAGAGGAGTGGGTTTCGGCGAGTTTCTTTTTCCTAGCGTGTGCCCCTGTTCCTGATGACCGTGGCAACACCACCCATTTTTCTTATTCCTCATATTCCAAACCTGACAAATCGATTATGTCTGTCTGTTCTTCTTCCAGATGCTTCTGAGGCTCACACCATGACCCTGGCTGGACCACTGTGAGCACATCCTCGTGAACACATTAACCATGGCACACCCTTACAGAGCTGCACACAGGTACACACAGATGTGCTCACAGATGGATGGGTGTGATTGCACACGGCCCCCCACCTGGGTGCAGGGTAGCAGACATGTATAACGGGCAGACTGGACCCCCACACGTGTGTGACCCACATTCCCTACACGCAATGTCAGCAGACAGAAGCTCGGGCCTTTCCCTCGGCGCACAGGCTGGGGCTGGATGGACGCTCACCGGCTGACCGCCCCACCAGCGGTGGTTGAATTTCTCGCGCCCTCGGAGGTGGAAAGTGGCGTCGAACACAGGGTCGTACATGGAGTTGCCCACAATCCCATGCGATTCTGGATACAGTCCCTGCGGGAGAGCAGTTAGTGTCAGAGCAACAGTGATCTGTGCACATCTGTCCTGTGAAAAGTTTTCTCATCACAGAAGTTTTTATAAGACAGTTTTTCATTTCCAAAATCATACAAGGTGTGTGCAGCCTTTTGAGTTATAAACCATTTGAAAAACCTGACATTATTAGTAAAAGAAACGAAATATTTTTCTTAACTGTTGGGACAGTAAAAACAACACTTTCAATATTGTAGCCATCAAAGAAATTTGATTTCTAAATCTCTTTTCCTTCTTTCCAAGTTCGAGTTCTCTCCCATAAATAACAGAAAGTGACCCTAAAATAAAACATAATTTGTGTTTTACAAAAAGAAAATCAGGTAGATTCAGAGTATCTGAAAATGAAAGCACAGAAACTTTAAAATCAGCTTCTCTAGTTTTGCAAATTTAGCAAATAAACCACAGGCCGCCTGGTGCTGGCGAGAAGCTTGCTATGCTCTGACGCAGGTGCCCCGGGAGAGCCGGGGCTCATACTGACGGGCTGTGATGCCATCACACACAAAGCTACCAGCTGCTGTGGGAGTCAAAGTTTCTGGAACACTGAGGAATGTGCTTTAAAATTCTCTAAGCTGGTGGTGCACACACCTGTCATCCCAGCACTCCAGGAGGCTGAGGCAGGAAATTGCCATCAGTTCAAGGCCAGCCTGGGCCACACAGTGAGCTCAAGACCAGCCTGGACTACACAGCAAGACCCCATCTTGACCTGCTGCCGTCTCCCTTTAAGCCATCCCCGGGATGCCATCAGGCCTTTGGACACGCATAATTTGAGAAAATACTCACAGTGGCCAAGGTGTACAGATTGGGGAAGGTTTTGGTCGGGTACACGGGCCTCATGTAGGGAGAGTGCGTGCCACAGGACCCTGGAGACACAATAGCAGCTGTTAGAACCGAGGAACCCGTGACGCTCACCCCTTGGAGAAACCCATTCTGTGAACCCCGAGGAAACCTGCATGTCTGACAGCAAACCGCACTCGCACACGGGTCGGGGGCCGGGTCCCGGCTGCAGGTGGGGGACTTACTCAGCTTCTCGATGTTGGGCATGAGCTTGGTGCTCTTCTTCATGTAGGACGCTCGGAAGCCATCCACCGAGAAGATGATGAGAGGCGGCCGGACAAAGCTGCGAGGGCCACACATCCATCACCGCTCGGCACAGCCGCCCACACTGCCCAAGAGCAGTGACCAGGGACCTCCCAGGATGGGTGTGTGGGCAGCTGGGCTCTCCACCACCTCACATCCGAGGGGACGTTGGCCCAGACTAAATGACCAAGGGAAGGGGCCGGACTCTAGAGTTCCCTTAACGGACGCCCTCCGCCTTAGCTCGCCTGACAAACAAAAACAGTTCGTGCTGCCTTGTAGAAAGCTGTATTTGCCTAGAAAACATGCTCCTCCATCCGCCACCTGGAAAAGTCCTCAGTCTTTAAAACCCAGCTCGGAGTTTCCTCTTCAACAGCCGGCTGCTCACACTTTTAACCTCCTTTAAATATTTCTTCATGTACCCCTTCCAGCATGCCGCGCTGTAACGACCTGTCAGCCCGAAGCCCCGCGTGTCTCTCATCTCCCTATTTCATGGACCCCCAGTGAGTCTTCAGCAACTCATACTCAGTAAACAAACTCATGAGGGAAGGAATGGGTGCGTGGATGGAAAATTATTAGCACTCCCGTAACTATATCTAAGCACCTATTTCAGAGTTCCTTTCATTGTGATTATAAAATGCTTTCAAAAATAATTTAAATTATGAAGGTCTCTAAAACGTATATCAAGGGCTTGAAGATTTAGCTCAGTGATATAAGCACCTGCCTGGTAAGTGCTAGGTGGTAAGTTTGATCCCCAGTACCAAATAAATAAATACATGTACATTAATAAAGAACTAGATTATTCATTTACCCAGGCCGAAAGCCAACATACAGTTGATCAATCAAACCCAGGCACCCTAAAACATGTGCAGAATTATTTCTAACAGTTTGGAGCTAACTGAGCAAATGTGAGTGTGTAATTTATTTAAAGCCACACAACAAACCTGACACCTTTTAAATGAGTCACAGGCTCAGCCCACTGAAGCTTGTGCCATGAGCTGACAGTTACTGGGACTCAGTGTCTAACAGATTGCTTTTTCCTCAAACATCAGGAGTCAGGGGCTGTGCCACCCTCTTCTACCTGCCCTAAGGAGTTCGAAGGTCTCTCAAAGCTTAAAGACACCTGGGTTCTGAGCCTCGCACTGTGTCGCCTGACACAAACCTGAGTTTAGAAGACTGAATACATTGTGGAAACGCATTTGCTGAAAAGGCCTTTTCTGCCAGGCCTTGGAAAGGTCCCCTAGTGTCAGCAGTTTCCTGGAGGCCTCCTCAGTGCCTGGTCACACCCGAGCAGAGGGATGTCACTGCAGCCCGGCGACCCCCAGGCTTCAGGGTGTCCCGGGGTGTCCCGGGAGGACAGTGTTTAGTTCCCGTCTCCCGCTTCCGTTCCCCTCCCCCACTCCTCCAAAGCACCAGAAAAGCAGAACCCCAGGGCAAAACACCAAAACAGGAAAAAAAAGTCCCTGCCCGAAACCTTTCCTTCCCCATGACACTCAGATACACTCTGTAAACCTTCAGCTGCCTGGACGGTGGGGATCGTTCTCTTCAAGTCAAAAGGGGAGAAAAAGACCTGTGTTAGAGGCAGCTTCGGGTCCTGATCACCCGTGAGTCCTCGCAAGTTTGTCTGTGGAAGGGGGTTTCAGCTCTGCAGCATTTATCACCGCGCACCCACCATGTTCCATGCTGCATAGCAACTAATCACCCCAGACTTCGTGGAGTCCCTGAGGTCACTCACCCGGCCGGACACTCGGGGGCCTTGATCTCCTCGCAGTCATCGTCCACCCAGTGTGATTCTCCTGCAAGGGAAAGTGACCAGGTTACTGTGCAGGGTCTGACCTGAAGTCTGGAGTCTGTCTGGCTTTGAAAGTTCACCCGTACCTGGGGGAAAAGCTAAGATTCATAACCTCCAGTGGGGTTTATTCCAGCCTTCAAAGTCTGGATGGTTAGTAGACTTTAAAAAGCCAGTGATGTCAGGGAACAAATTTTCATGTCTGTGTCCTCCAGAAACAAACAGTTCAGTCATTAGATGGGACATTCTTTTCCCTACCCTGCAGATCGCAAAGCCACAGACTGTGTGGCACGGCGGCCCTGAAGAGAAGGCGGAGGGAGAGCTCAGGGCGGAAGGGGCCACTGGGGACTGGTGACGGTGGGGACATTGTTTGCGATGGATCCACATGTACAGCCTCGAATTTAGAAACAAAGACTAATATTACCTTTCATTCTAATCCTGTTCAGAGATCTGAAAGCATAAACCTTTCCTCTCCCTGAATCAGCCCTATCAAAAACAGAGAACAAAAAGTATCCAGGTTGAAAATATATATACATTTTTTAAAACACATATATTAGTGTGGGCCTCCAATATGGCAGTTTGGGGTGTAGCAACTTTAAGAAATGAACGTTAGCCAGACGTGAAGGCGCACGCCTGTAACCCCAGCACTCAAGAGGCTGAAGCAGGAGGATGCTGTAAATTCAAGGCCAGCCTGAACTACATAGTAAGACCCTGTCTCAAAAATAAAAGAAAGTCAAATTTTTTTTTAAAAAAAGAGGCAGACTCTGGTGGAAGAGAATTAGTCAACTTCTGGAGAGACTAATGCAGGCACCACAGGACTGGATCAGCTCCCATGACCATGGATGGCACAGGGGAGTCTAGCAGTCCATCTCCTGCACAAGCTCCCCCTGCTGAGACACGAGCAGGCTTGGGGTGATGCAGCTAGAGAGTCCTACCAGAGAACTGACCGGTGGGGCAGCCCAATCTTACACCATCAGCCTCCAAATCTATGATCTACAAAACACCCAGCCTCTGAGAATGTGTTATAGCAACACAAAACTTGCCAAGACGCCTTTCTCTGGAGAAACAGACAATGATCACCAAACATTGGCCTTAAATTATTCTAGGACAAGCAACAGTGACAGGCATCAAACGTGTTAAATGTGTGGCCCCCACTTTGGAGAAACCTCTCCCACATGAAGACCTCCAGAATAGGCTCTAATCAGTGAGTGACAGCAGGGAAGCACTGTACCCCTTAACGTGGGAAACTTTGCCAAGTGTGTAGCAGCCTAGGGGACCCCATACAGGCCTCGCCAAAGTACTGCAACTCAGATAGTAAGCCAGCAAAAGCTGCTTTAATGTGTAATCATTCAAGGACCAATGACACCTAAAACTTTTCTTCTTCATCGCCACGTGGTTTTTATTCTCATGGCCTTTGTGGTTCAATGGCTCAATTAGCAAAACTGACAAAGAAAAGGAAATAAACTCTTAATCAATTGTATGCTTTAAAAGTATAACTGTTGGGGTGAAGGACATTCACAACCCAGTGACTGTTCAGGTAGTGGATTTGCCGAATGTGTGAGCACCCTTTCAGTGTAGCCCGGCAAATGACATATTTCAGACCTGATTCGCTTTTCTCCAGAAATCTTTTGAACAGAAGCAGTGATGGGCTCCATATCCGAGAGAGGCAAAGGGTTTAATTTAAAAACTAAAAATGACTTAAAAGCTATAGATACAGATTCCCAAGTTTTCCCAAATTAACACCTCTTAGGGGCTGGCTCGGTGCCCGACACTCGTTGAAGGCAGGAAGTGTCTTTCATCCCTCTCTGCCCATTGGTTATTGTTAATTATTTCAATTAACAGTAGTGCAGCATCAGCCCTGAGAAAACAACACACGGGCACATACAGCTGGGGTACCGCGGGAGCTGCCGGGCTCTCACGATCCAAACCAGAAACTGCGCCCTGCAGCCCGCGCCTCGGGAAACTTGTGCAAAATTCATGCCTTTGGTCCAAAGCAATAACTCTGAGATCTACTTTTCAGAGCCACCCCAGAGCAGGCCAGGGTGAACCCGTCCCGGAGAGCACGTCCTTCCCCGATGCCCCGGCCCCAGCCCTGCCCCTTCTTGGGGCTCAGGTACGGTACGAAGCACCCCTCCATAAAGTCTGTGCACAAACTCCTGCCTCAGGCTCCGCATCTAGGAAACCTGACCTAGAACCAAGGAAAGGTGCAGAGTCGCTTGCTTGTCACGGTCCCACCGGCAGAGGGCACTGTGCTTTAGCTCTCGATTATTTAGCGTGAGAAAATGCAGAGCTCAGCTCCTCTCCTCCTCCCCAACCACAGGCCAGGTGTCAGACCTGCACCCGCGGGATGCCTGGGGACACCCAGTCCTCACCCCCGGGGACCCCCCGGGAACCCCCCGGGACCCCCGGGACCCCGGGCCCGCACCTTTGCAAACCACGTGGTAGTTGGTGCAGCAGTCCCCGCGCGCCAGGCAGTCCTCCGAGCAGTGGCAGGCGTGCTCCTCGTCGCGAGCCTCTCCGCACCGGTCCTTGGTGCACTCCCAGCCGCGAGCTGAAAGGGCCACAGCAGGTTCCCTGAGGTCCCATCCACGGCACCACGGGAAGGGCCACGCTGGCCCCGGCTCCCCGCAGAGCGAGCTAAGATCACTGGCCTTCCGTGACCTGGGTGTGGAGGCTGAGTGTGCCCGGAGAAGTCACACTCAGGATGCGTTTCTGATGATTTTCAGATCAGAAGACAAACTCAGAAGCCCCGCGGAGCTGTTCTGGAAAAGTGGAAGTGGAAAAGACAGGAAAAGTATTCCGGCCACCCACCATGTCCAGAGTGTCCAGAGCGCTCGCGCAGTGTGCGGCAGGGAGCCTCCCGGTCGCTCAGGGCAGTCCCTAGGGGTCTGCTGGGTTGCTTTGGGAAGCAGCTTTGCTCATTCTGGATCAGCTCGATTTAAACACAAGAGGCAAACTGTGCTGCTACAAACCTGGGTGCCCCTACATCCTCGCGGCAGGACTTTTTACTTTGTTTTGTTTTCCTTTTTGTCTTTTTGAGACAAGGTCTCATTACACAGTTTGGGCTGGCCTTGCACTCACACTGTAGCCCAGGCTGGTCTCGAATTTGCAATGATCTTCCTGCCTCAGCGTCCTGTGGTGCTGGGATTACAGGCACGCACTACCACACCTGGCAATGTTTTTTAATTTTACCTTTTTCCATTAAAAACAAAACAAGGAGATGGCAGCTGTTGCACGCTCTAGGGCCTGGAGCCCAGGTCCCTACAGAGATCTGAAAGGTGAAGAGTTCCAGACCACGGAGGCCCGGGAAGCTCCTCCACCGCCAGCATCCCTGCTTCCCAGGAAGACAGCAGGCGGGGTGCAGATTCCTGTCCCAGACTCTGGACTGAGAGCTCATGGTCCAACCCTTCCAAGAAAAGATGGTCAGAAAAGGATCTTTCTGTTTTAACCAGAACACTGCGTTTTCTGTTGGTTTGACTTTTTGGTTGACTAGAAGTTCAGAGGCAGGAAAAAGAATCACATCTCTCCAGGCTGACAGTGCCACAGGCGTGAATATCCAGGAATCAGTCGAAAATGTACACGAAGGTAAAGGATGGCTCCACGCCCGGCCACATCCCATGCTAACTCACCATGGGGACAGTAGTGGTCTTGGGATGGACTAAGAGCCAGAGAGACCAAGGCCCCACCTTGGGGGGTGCACACTGCAAATAGAACAGGCGGTACACAGCAAGGAAACCAGCACACAGCATCTGGGCAGCCAGCACTGCACACTGTGAGGTGGGGGAACCACAGAAGACTCTGTGGACAGTGCGGGGTGCACTGGGGGCCATGCTGGGGGATGGGCAAGAAAAGCATCCTGGGAGCCAGCATGGTGCTGCCCGCCTGTCGTCCTAGCACTCGGGAGGCTGAGGCAGGAGAATTGCTGAGACTTCCAGGCTACTTAATGAGAGCCTATCTCAAAAAACAAACAAAAAACCCCACACAATAGAATAGAATTCAAAAGAAAATTAGGAGTCCAAAGTCAAAATAGGAGTCAACTGTGCCACTGTCAAAGTAAATATGTGAAGTAAAATAAAAATATTTAACCTTATTGGAAAATAAGGTTACCTATCAGTGCAGACAAAAACGTCTTTAAAGATGAGTGTTTGGGTTGGGGTGTACTTCAGCGGCAGGGTGCCTGCCTCACACGCACAGGCCTGAGCTCTGTCCCCAGGAGAGGGAGACACAGGGAGCAAAAAGAGGCGTGAAATGCTCTTGTGCCCTTTGATAGAAATGTAAGCATTCAGAAATATATTTTTATAACATACACTTAAATTATTTAAATGCATACACACTTCGATGCAGAAACCCCCTGAATCTTACGGCAAATAAACAGAAGTACACGAGTAGGACTTCTTGAAGCATTCATAGTAATAAAACTTGAGTCATGAATGCCAACCAGGTTTCAACTCAACTAAGTAGCCATTCAAAAGAATGATTTGAGGCTGAAGCAGGGAGCAAAGTTCAAGGACATCTTGGGAAACTTAGCAAGACCCAGTCTCAAAATAAAACAGCAGACGGGCCGAGGTGTGGCTCGACGGTGGAGCGGCTGCCACACACAGGCAAAAACCGGGGTTCATGCTCCAGTACCAAAGAAGCAGGATGTGTACAATGCTTAAAAAGGTTTAGGGATGCAGGACTCCACCCGTGTACACACACGCACATACTTGAGTGAATACACGTGCATGCAGGCCCAGCACACAGAGACGCAGATAGCGGGCTTTGTTTATGCTGATACCCTTTGCTTGTTCCTGCAGAGCACCTGGGCGCATTAGTGGAGCCTCACATACAAACTGCCACTCTCCTATCGGAGAGTGACTGTCCCTGCTCTCGGTGTCTGTCACCTTTGTGCACAGGACAGCACATCTCTGCAAGGAACTGGGGCTGGGACCTCAGGCTGGTGCTCTACGTCAAGGACACGTAGGGAGGAAGTGCACAGCACGAGGGGACCCTCGGTGCCCAGCAGACCCAGGCTGCTCGTTTGTAGGAAGGCCAGGGCTGAAAAGCAGTACAGTCTTTTAGTCAAAGCCTCTGACATCTGCTCATGGCGGCCTCGGCACTGGGGCGCAGACCCGCAGCAAGGGACCTGGGAGACGTTCCAGCACGAACCCCGGCAACGGCAGCGCAGGGCGGCTCGAGTCTGGAAGGGAATTACACAGAGAACATCTAATTAAGGGCTCCTGATTTTGCAGGAGGTGGGGGAAATGCACCAGAATTAGTAAGGGAGTCGATGTCCGCTTTCATACATCCAAGGCAGTGGTCTCAGTTAAGAGAATGATGTCCCTGTTGCTAATTATGTCGTTAAAAAGATCAGACTAACAATAGCCATGATAATAGGAGGGAGGCTTTGAAAAGAATTATTGCCATATAAAAGTCCAAAGGTAAGCAATAGCAGGCCATCCCGGGGTGCTGAAGCCAGCCTGGTTACTGTCTGAGTAGGATAGGCTGGGAGGGGCTCTGCCCAGAGGTGCAGGGGGGACCCCGACAGGCCCCAAGGAAGCCTCATGTGAAATGTCTGGTTCCCCACAGAGGCTCTTTCTCACGTTATGTGCATTTGTCCCATAGAATAAGTGTAAAGAAGGGAAAGAAAGCCTCGGAGGAAGAGTTCAGAGCTGCCCAGAGCAGAAGACACCAAATAAAATCCCACACCACCTTCTCTTCACTTCGAGGAGGGCCGAGAGTTGGTACAGAAAGTGGGATGAAAGGAAAACCAGGGGCCAGGCAGGCGAGCCAAGAGCATTACGCAGATGGGAAGGAAACCAAGAGACGAGACAGAGGACAGGGGACATAAAGGGCATGAAGTCGGGGTGTGGCCCCCCCACTCCCAAGGGTGAAGGGGATCACCATGCACCGCAAATATGCACTCATAAAAATAGCATTTCATACCTAAAATAAATAAAACCCAGCACTCCAAGAACATGTGCAATCATAGCTCCTGTCCACCAGCACTGATGCAGGAGGTGACACCTTAGACAGACAGGAGAAGAGGTGCAAAGGCCCAGCATGAGCTGCTTCAAACCAGCACAGACTGGCTCCTGATTCTGGCAGGAAAGATGTCCACACCCGGGGTAAGCTCACGGTGCAATCAACAATCGTGCAGGAAACAAAGCTCAAATGCACATCTGGGTCGGCCCAAGCAGGGGCAGCCTCAACACCCCACATGGGGACTCCAAGCCACCGGCTGGAGGCTGCCCCAGCGCAGAAGGCACCTACCGGTCTTCAGACACAGCTGGTCGAAGTCGTGGCAGCAGCTGCTGTAGCTCTTACACAGGTTGTCACAGCGGCAGTCTGGGGGTCCGACCTCCTGAAGTTCAAAGCACCTGCCCTTGCAGGAGCCGGAGGTGTTGGTCCAGGGAGAGTCTGACAGGACTGCAGGGACAGAAAGCAGAGGGTGGCTTAGGAGTGCATCACATCCCCGGGGGAGGTGGCCCACAGGTGGCCGCTGGGTGACAAGCCAGGCTCTGTCACCCACTTCCCGTGTGCTGTGGGAAGGGTGCGGAACTTGCTGGTGCCACCGCTTCCTCGTCTGGCAAGTGAGGATTGATTCATAAAAGTAACTCTAGGGCCAGGCACGTGGCCCAAGCCCATCTTCGCAGCACTTGGGAAACAAAGGCAGGATCACTCCTAGTTCGAGGCCAGCCTGGACTCCCCAGAGACACTCTGCCTCAAAATGAATAAATAAACGTGAAATAACTCCAGGTTGAAATGAGAACTTAACAAAGCAACCCATTTAAAAATATTTCATGGGGTATCAAACATATATAGAAAGAATAACAAATGTCATCAGTTTGATTGCTATTTTATTACTACAAATCTGGAAAGATGAAGCCACTGTGGAAATAGAAGTCCATTTTCCTACTTAAAAATCCAGGCACTTGGGGCTGGGGATTTAGCTCAGCGGCATAAGTACCTGCTTTGCAAGCAGGCAGTTGTGAGTTCGATCCCCGGTACCAATAAAAATGAAAAAAACAAAAAAAAAAAATCCAGTACTTTATAAGGAAAATGGAGCCCAAGTATTAGGGAAACAGTATGAACGCGTGTGGTTGGGACAGAAGACTTTACAACTGTACCTGTGAAAGCTGCACCCTACACCAGCTGCTGTTACACCATCTCGGCTGGCCAGAAACAAACCCTCTCTATCCTCATGTCTATCCTGTTTACCTAGAAATCTCAAGAATCAACCAAATTTTGGCAAAGGAAATAATTCAGCAAGATGGCAATTCCACTCATTTGGAACATACAAGCAATGTAAGTTTCAAAATTAAATGCAAGTTTCACTCATAACAGTACCTAAACATACTGCAGCTGGGCATAAATTCAGCAATATATTGTAGAATCTACATGAAAAGAGTATTAAAGGTCTATAAAAAGGCATTTCAAAAGAGCTACTTACATGTGAAAGCCATAGAATCTTTGCTGTATGATGTATCTTACTAAATTAGAAATATACTAATTTGTTCTAGATATAACTAAAGACACAAAGCAATCACCATAAAACATACAGAGTCCTTGAAATTTGAGAGACTATAAAAAGAATATTTAAAATTAAATAAATGAAGCCGAACGTGGTGGAGCATCCTGTAATGGCTGCACTCGTTAGGCTGAGGCAGGAGGATCGCTGAGAGTTGAGGCCAGCCTAGGCTACGAAGTGCATTTGAGGCCATCCTGAACTGAACTGCAGAGTGAAACCCTGTCTTAAAAAGACCAAAATAAATAAACAAATAGTAATGAAAATATGAAAGCATAAAAGTAATTTGGAAAGTATATGGGGAGCAGATCCTGAAGTGAAATAATGAAATAACTTACTGATGGGAAATAAACACATTGTAAGGCTGCAGCCCAGAAATAGAGCCAAATATATGGGAATTTATTTTATAATAAAACCAGCATTTCAAACCAGAGGAAAGCAGGAGGATTAACTGCTAAACAGTTTATAGAAAAATTTAAACTAGAGCTTGGTGCCAGTTTATACAACCGTTCCTGATGAATGGGCGTTATAAACAGTGTTATAACTGTTCTGAGAACACACATTTTAAGATAAAATAGAAAAGTTAGAAGTATCTATCAACATCCTTACATATTTTCATCTTTCTTCCAGAAATTCCACTACTAGGAATTTGTCTTTCTTATGTATCTGCAAAACTTCGCGAAGACCCAGGTACCAAAACGTTCACTAGCCGCCGCGCTGTTCTAACGCAGGAGGCAGCACCCCTAGAGTCCCCACTCCGGAGACAGCAGGAGAGAACGACTGCGTCCAGATGCGGAACGCCGCCCCAAAAGAATGGGCTGGATCTACACAGCTAATTCGGAAAGATCTTCAAGACATACAAATTCATTTTATTAAGGAGAAAGAACACAACAGCATCATCGTGTTAAATGCCATATATTAGATTTTGTGTTTGCAAAGGAAGATAAATAACCTGTATTAAGAACAAAGTACCTAACCGTGTGGTGGCTAAACAGCATGTGTCAGATTTAGTGCTCAGCAAAGAATAAAGACAGCCAGAAGAATAAAGCCGGAAAGAGACAGAGCCGGGGCTGGCCGTGGGGCTGGGGGAGAGCGTGACTTCTGCACACTGATGGTGTTCACGTGAATTTTCAGTTTTTCTCCTTTAAAACACTGTCGTACCAGCACGCTGGGAGGAAATGACCAAGAAGGTGCAGGAGACCATCTTTCTGTAGCTGAAGTTTCCAGCACTCTAAGAGCTCACAGGGAGTCATCTAGTTTTTCGCTTGCTTTTTTCTCCTGTGTGTGTGTGTGTGTGTGTGTGTGTGTGTGTGTGTGTGTGTGTAACACATCATAGAACACATGCTGTATGTATTTATCCTCATAGAGGTTACATCTGATGGGCTGTTCGTAATTTTATTTCCATTATTTCTGTATTTATGAGTGATTTCTCTGTTTTATACTCACAAGTACTAATTTTTAAATCAAGAAGTGACAAGTAGCCGGGGAGGGGGAGACCCATGCAAATGACACCAGGGCCCCCGTGCCATTGACCTGAGCACCTGTCCCTGGCCAGCTCAAGTCCCCTCTCCAGCCAGCATCACCCAGTACCAGCACCTGTGCCTTGGATCCATAGAACTGAGGCCAATGGATCCGCCGGGCCGTGTGACACCCAGTGCTGTCTCGTGTGGCAGCTCCTGGGATGCCAAACTCACAGCTGGGTCAGCTCAGGGGAGGTCACGGCACCATCCCCAGCACAGGGCCCTCTGCTCTGTCAACCACATTTCCCCATGGACTCTGGCCGGCCTGTCCACAGAGCCCTAAGCCACCACAGCAGGGGGAGGGGAGGAAAAGGAAGCTCAGAGAAAGTCCTCGCATAAAAATCAGAGATAAGGAAAACTTAGAATCCACCATCCCCGCTTTAATGCTGGTGCTCAGATTCACCCCAACAGCCATCTAGGCAACAGGGCTGTCCTCACTTTGTGAGCTCCAAACATGCACACCTGTCACCCCGGAGCCGCGAGGCTGAGGCAGGAGGATGGCAAGTTCCAGGCTCTCTGGGGACAACTTCGTGAGACCCTGTCTCCGCACAGTAACAAGAAATAAAACGAGGGCTGGGAAGGTGCTCGGTGCTCGGGTCTCAGATTCAGGCCCGCAGCCGCACGTAACACTGTGGATCATCACTCTGAGCTCCGCTAACCACTGAGGCTGCTGACGGGCGCCTGCCTGTGTCTCCTCTCCTCCGTATTGGTCCCAGCCAGCCCTGGGGTGCTCCTGCCTCGTGCCCTTTGCTGTCCCCTCTCCCTGAGTTCCTTCTCTGCGTTCACAGCATCTGGATGAATTCTTAGCCCGTGCTGTGACTTCCTTCATCCTACCGATGCGACTTGCACTGGTGTGTCATACCACTCACATCGGGTGCCCCCTGTAAAGTTAACTGAGTACTCTTGGGTCAGAGTCTCCCTGGCCAAGCCCCAGACAGCTTCAGGGAGCCGAGTCTACAGCTCTAGTGGGTTGGAGAGTAGCTCAGCGGCAGGGGCTGGGCTACACAGCTTCAGTCAGGAAGGAAATTCATCAGGAAGGAAAGCAGGGAGACACTGTAAAGTCTCCCCTATTCCAGTCACCCCAAGAAACCCAGCTGCCACCCGCTTTCAAACACAGAAGTGGCAGGTCCAGCATCCTCACTGCCTGGCCAGGGCCTGCACAGCCTCGCCCGCTGCCCCTGGCAAGCGGCCCGCATCTCCCAGGGGCCTGTAATGCCCTCCACCCACCTCCTGGCTTCTTTATTCCTTGCGGGAGCCCGCATCCTTCTCTCCACCACCAGCATAAGGGCGGGTTCCTAGGACTTCTTTTCACTGCTGGAGCCAAGATCAGATACGGGAGGGATCCTTGAGTATGCAGCTGAGTCTGAGATCCTGAGCGGTCCTTGCCCTGACAAATATCAGAGCACTCTGACATGGGCACTTGGTGTCTCCACCTCACGGAGATGGTCTCGAAAATGCAAGGCTCCCGGAACCTGTGGCAGCCAGAGGTTATTCTCATGGCTAAGACCACCTCAGAAGTCCAGGATGGAGGAGGAAGACAAAAACTAAGAGCAAGCAAACAAACCCAAAGCACCCAGAAAGATCCGGGGAGACTATTCTGGACAAGAGAATAGGATGTTGGAGATGGGGGTGAGGACAGGTGACACAGGAAGACAGGAGCCGGCACGGTGGCACACGCCTGTAATCCTAGCACTTGGGAGGCTGAGGCAGGAGGATTGCTGAGAGTTCAAGGCCAGCCTGAACTACAGAGTGAGACCCTGTCTCAAAAAAGAGGGGGTTATGATCACATTATATACATTGAAAGTCCCCCAAAGTGTAAAAGAGGGCATCTGGTAAATGGGGGATGATTATGTATGTCATGTGCAAGCGCAAACCCACCCCCAAGTCCTGTATTACACATACATTTTTTAAAGTATTAAGAAGCATCAAGGCAGAGACACGTAATGAGCACAGCAGAGGCTCAGAATTCCTGGGGAGGCGTTTGGCCAATCCTTTTATGAGCTTCAAATTATATTGCTGCCTTTTAAATGACAGACTGGGGTAATGTCATTTCAGTTCTCAGATACAGCCAGTGCTAGAATCTTGCAAACCAATGTCTTTATAAATAGATGCACTTTTTCAAGAAGTAACTTTGAATTTTAAAAATGTATCTACAATCCGACCTTCATCACTCTGCTACATATTGCTTGTTTTACCCAGAAACATAATTTCACAATTTAAAGAAACACAAGTGTACATTACAACTTCTTTCACCTAAATTTGTAGTGTAGGTGGGGACAGGTGAAATTCTGTTAACCTAGTTGAGGAAACCTGTTTTACTAGAATGTTCCCTTTCACAGTCTCTATACAGGGCCCTAGAATTCTGGAGATGCAAGAAAATG